GGTCTCAAACTCCTGACCTCCTGATCCGCCCGACTCGGCCTCCCAAAATGTTGGGATTCGGTGAGCCACCACATCCAGCCTTCTCTCATTTTTCTTCCTCTGTCTCCTCCCCTCCACTTTCTCCCTCCTTCCTTCCTCTATTCCTTACTTCCTCTCTCCTTTTCTCTTTCTTCTCTAATTGTGTTAAGTGCATTAATCTTAATTTTAAATATGCAGCTTGATGAATTTTTACATATGCATAAACCCCTGCAACCACTACCCAGATTAAGGGGCACATTTCCAGCCTCCCAGAACATTTTCTCCTGCCTCTTGCTGATCAGTATCTCCCCCAGACGTAACTGCTCTTCCCATAGCCTCTGTTATTGTCAATTAATTTTGTATGTTCTTGAATTTCATAAAAACGGAAGGATACAATATGAGCTCTTAAGTGTCTGGCTGCTTCTTCTCCTCCAAATGACTGAGATTCATTCGGGTTACTATATATAACAGTATTTTTCCTTTCATTGCTGCATAAAATTCCATTGTGTAATTTTGTTGTTTTGGTGGGGGAGTTGTTTGTTTTCTGAAAACATCACTATTTGTTTATCTATTCTCTGTCTCATAGACATTTGGGTTGTTTACCGTTTGGGGTGTAAACTCAAAATAAAATCCTAAGGGTCCACTGAATGAACACCCTTTCTTGGCAAAGGGAACCCCAGAAAAACTAAAAACTTGGTTCCCAGCCATGATGGGACAGGAGGTCAGACACACCACGTTACACTCCCTTCCTTCCTTTTGTGATTTAAATACAAGAACTGTACAGCATTCATGCTAAAATAGAGGGTCGGATGTGGTGGCTCACACCTGTAATCCCAGTATTCTAGGAGGCTGAGGCAGGCAGATCACATGAGGCCAGGAGTTTGAGACCAGCCTTGGCAACATGGTGAAATTCCATTGCTACAAAAAAAGAAGAAGAAAATGCAAAAATTAGCCAGGTGTTGTGACGTGTGCCTGTGGTCCCAGCTACTGGGGAGGCTGAGGTGAGAGGATCTCTTGAGCCCAGGAAGCAGAGGTTACAGTGAGTTGTGATCATTCCATTCCACTCTAGCATGGGTAATAGAGTGAGATTCTGTCTCAAAAAGGAAAAAAAAAAGATCGTAAGACTGACAGCACAGACTCTTTTTTGTTTTTTGGGTTTTTAAAATTTTTAAATTCTTTTAAACACGTTCAGAGAAACTTCTCTAGTAACAAACTACAGAAATGATCCCTGAAAGTATAGTCTTAGAACAGACTCTTTGTGGCAATAAGATACCAAATTACAAACATGGCCTAAGGCCACATTGGGCAAAGGTTAAGTCACATGCCCCTACCCTTAAGGAATAAACCATGTTCTAATTGTGATAAGAGAGTTTTATTTTTCAAGTATGATCTCAAGAGAAGCAATATTAAACAATGACAATTCATCCAGCTCACAGACTCCCAACTGACACCCTGTTCCACCAGTCTTTGGTGGAACTACAGCTTTGGTTGAACAAGAGACTGATTTTAGTAACTTTCTCCTCATAAGAAGACCACTGACCATGAACTGCTTCTGGTGGGGTCACAGAAACCATCCACTCATGTGCCTGCATTTCCTGCAAAGACCTTTTGAGGGTAGGTTCTAACTGTAATACATTGATTGATTGATTGAGACAGGGTCTTACTCTGTTGCCCAGGCTGGAGTGCAGTGGCACAATTACAGTTCACAGCAACCTCTGCTTCCTGGGCTCAAGCAATCCTCTTACCTCAGCTTCCCAAGTCGCTGGGACTACAGGTACACACAACTGTGCCCGGCTACTTCTTGTATTTTTTGTAGAGACGGGGGTTTCAACATGTTGTCCAAGCTGGTCTCAAACTCCTGCGCTCACGCGATTCGCCCACCTTGGACTCCAAAAGTGCTAGGATTACAGGCATGAGCCACCATATCTGGCTTAATTGTAACACATTTAAATGTTAAGTCTCCACTCCAAAGTGAACATGCGCTGTATGTTACATGCACATTTGTTCATACACATGTGTTGGGACCACCTTCATAAATAAATATTCATAGCTTCTCCTGTAACCTGCTGAATATATCATTCAGCCAACCCCTTCAGCACAGAGCTCCGAGTGCAACCCTCCTCCTTCAAAGTGCCTGTCTCCTGTCTTGGTGGGAGGCATACTTCCCAGCCTGTGGGCTGCTCACCTTGCAGGCTGTAACCCCTTATAAGAAACAAAGTCTCTACTCCTCTCTGAACTTACACATGTGTGATTTCTTTTTTTTTTTTTGAGACGGAGTCTTGCTCTTTTGCCAGGCTGGAGTGCATTGGCATGATCTTGGCTCACTGCAACCTCTGTCTCCCAGATTCAAGCTATTCCCCTGCCTCAGCCTCCTGAGTAGCTGGGACTACAGGTGCACACCACCACACCCGGCTAATTTTTTGTATTTTAGTAGAGACAGGGTTTCACTACAGCCAGAATGGTCTTGATATCCTGATCTCATGATCCTCCCACCTCAGCCTCCCAAAGTGCTGGGATTACAGGTGTGAGCCACTGTGCCCAGCATATTTTTTTATTTTTGTTTTTTTTTTAGTTAACAGGGGCTATGAACATTCTTATAGATACCTTTTGATTGATGTACATTTTCAGTTATCTTGGTATATACATAAGCGTGGGCATGATAGATATTAGGATAGGCATCTTTAACTTCAGTGGATGCTAGAGCAAGTTTCTGAATTTCAGCTCTGAAATGGGGATGATAATAACAGCACCTGCCTTATAGGGCTGTTTCAAGATTCAAAGAGAAAATCTGGGTAAGGCTGGGTGCAGTGGCTCACACCTACGATCCCAGCACTTTGGGAGGCCAAGGCGGGCAGATCACCTGAGGTCGGGAGTTTGAGACCAGTCTGGCCAACATGGTGAAACCTCGTCTCTACTAAAAATAAAAATTAAAAAAAAAAATGAGCCAGGCGAGATGGCGTGTGCCTGTAATCCCAGCTACTTGAGAGGCTGAGGCAGGAGAATCTCTTGAATCTGGGAGGCAGAGGTTGCAGCGAGCCAAGATGGCACCACTGCAATCCAGCCTAAATGACAGAGTGAGACTCCATCTCAGAAAAAAAAAAAATAAATAAATAAAATAAAATCCGGGTACAGTATTTAGAATTGGTACACTGAAATTTGCAAAGCACGAATTATTGCTGGGATGGCAGTGGGGAGCATGAAGATAGCGGGCTAACTTTATGAATGTTTAAGTGTTCCCATCATGAATGAAACACACAAGGAACTTTGTAAGGGTCATATGATATATAAGTGATACATGACTATTGTATAAAAATTCAAACTAGTTGGAAAGATATAAAGTAAAAAGTGGTTTTCACTTGGTCCGTTTTTTATTATTGAAGGAAAAAAAATGTGAGAGTGTGATAGCATGGTGGCTTATGCCTATAATCCTAACCTGTTGGGAGGCGGGATTGGGATGACTGCTTGAGGCCAGAAGTTTGAGACCAGCCTGGGCAAAATAGCAAGAACCTGTCTTTACAAAATATAAATAATGTAGCTGGGTGTTGTGGCATGCATCTATAGTCCTGGCTACTCTGGAGGCTGAAGCAGAAGAATTGCTTGAGCCCAAGAGTTCAAGGCATCATTGCACTCTGGCTTGGGTGACAGATCGAGACCCTGTCTCTCTTTTTTTTTGAGACAGGATCTCACTCTGTCACCCAGGCTGGAGTGCAGTGGCTTGATCTTGGCTCGCTGCAACCTCTGTCTCCCAGGTTCAAGAGATTCTCTTGCCTCAGCCCCTTCAGTAGCTGGGATTATAGACATGTGCCACCAGGCCCGGCTAATTTTTGTATTTTTAGTAGAGATAGGGTTTCACCAACCTATTAGCCAGGCTGGTCTCGAACTCCTATCCTCAAGTGATCCATCCATCTCAGCCTCCCAAAGTGCTGGGATTACAGGCATGAGCTATGCACCAACCTGCCCTTGTTTCTCTTCTTTTTCTTTTTTCTTTTCTTTTCTTTCTTTTTTTTAGAATTTCACTCTGTTTCCCAGCTGGTGTGTGCAGTGTTGCCATCTCAGCTCACTGCAACCTCTGCTGCCCAGGTTCAAGTGAGTCTCCTGCCTCAGCCTCCTGAGTAGCTGGCATTACAGGCACACGCCTCCCCACTCCCGGCTGATTTCTTTGGTTTTTTTTTACTAGAGACGGAGTTTCACCATGTTGGCCAGGCTGGTCTTGAACTCCTGACCTCAGGCGATCTATTCACCAGGGCCTCCTAAAGTGTCGGGATTACCGGCCTGAGCCACTGTGCCCAGCGGATGCTGTCTCTTAAGAAAAAATACTATGTCCTGAGTATTTTGCAGGCATTTTCTGATTTCATCTTCACCTTTTTAATTGATGATTCTAAAGGCAGGGTGTTAGAGGCCGGATTGCTAAAGCTGACCCAAAGAAGAAAGCCTCCCTCTGGGCTGCTTGGTCTCTCTCTCAGGCCTCAGTCTTCCCATCTGTACAGTCAGGTCTCTGGGCTCTAAAAACAGCAGCTCCATGTCTATCCCTGGCAGAGCAAGGGTCTGAAGTCCTGTCGCTTGTGTCTCTGGGATATGGGAGCAAAGAGCCACACATCCTCAAGGCCCACACAGGCGTCACCTCCAGTCTCTCCTTGGCCTCATCCCCCAGCGTCCTGGAATGGCATTGGGCTTGCCCTGGGAGCCCCAGTCCTGTGCCTCTGCTCTCCCCTCAGGGGCTGCCAGGCTGACCACCCCCCCCCCCCGCAGGCCAGACACACAGTGCACCAGGGAACGTCCCAACCCTCCCCCAGGGTGGCAGCAGGAAGAGCGAAGAAAGGGGATCCTCTCCAGCTGGCCAGAAAGACAGGCCCTCCACGAATGCTGGTCCACCCTCCCCAGAGGCCTGTCCACAGGGGCTTGAGATCAGCCAGAAAAGTCAGGCAACTTTTCAGTGACGGGGAGTGAGGGTAGGCGAGGTCTCCCAGCTGGGCCTGGGTCCAGTCTCTGTGGGCAGTGCAGTGCCGAGCCCCACCCCTTGAGCTGTCCACAGCTCCAGACTTTGCCCCTGCGCTCCAGTGCGGGCTGACGGACAGAGGGCTAGAGACAAGACTTCCCAGAATCAGGAATTTCCCCCTGGGAAGTGGCATCCTGTGTCTCCACACTGCAGTTGTCTGGTCTCTCCAGCAATTTGGTACCTCTGGTGAGTGGCAGATGCACCTTTGAGCTGGGGGCAGGGGCTGGGAGAGGGGAGAGGCAAAGGATTTCATGCCTTCCCCATGTCAAACAGGGCCCAACATTATAGCCCAAGGCAAGTGACTGGAAAGGAGAGACTCAGCCTCTCAAACATCCAGCAGAAAGACCACAGGTGAGTGGCATCTCCTCCCCAAGCCTCAGTTTCTCCATCTGGAACATGGGGATCATAACTCCCCTCTTACGGGGTGAATCTGAGTGTTAAAAGAGGTGATGCATGTAAAGTGCTTAGAACAGATCTAGGCACTTAGCAAGGATCAAATGGTAGTTATTATTATTTTTGGTGGGGAAGCCGGTAGCCTAGTTCTCAAGCTTTTATAGCTTCTGTTCCATTTCAAGGATAAACTCTGCAAATAACAACTTCATAAGAAGTAGCCGTGTGATGCAACCAGGGAGAACTGATTATGTTCATTCAAATGCCTCACCTCTGGCTTACCAATTTTTTTTAAAACAAGTCTTTCATATTCTTTGCTATGGGCATGTAGCAAAGGCATCAGCTGTCTCGGATTGCCTTCTCGGGGACAAGGGGGTTCATAGGCAGATAAATGCAAGACTGAAAGACAAGCAGAAAGCATCAAGTGGCGACTGCATGCCGACTGCCTAAATATTTTTTTTTTGTAGCAAGGCAGAAAGCACCGACAGAACTGGGTCTCGATCCAAATGCTGTCCCACACTGACTATGTAACCTTGGGTGGGTGGCTTCTCTTCCCTGAACCTCAGTCCTAGCCTCCAGAATGAGAACAAAAACTGTCCCTACTTCCTAGAGCAGTTGAGAGGATTAATAGGATTATGTGTGTACTGCCTCTACTTGCGTTTGGCAAGTGGCTGAGACCAAAATACGTTGGTTCTTCTCCTGCTCCATCTTACGCAGACATTCTAATACACACACACACACACACACACACACACACACACACACACACTATATATATATATATAATCCCAGCTGTTTGCATCTTCTGGGATGTATACTCCAAGCTTGCTGGGTTGAAGTAATGGCATAAAACAGAAGAGAAATGCAAAACTAATAAAAACATCAGCAACAACATGAAAAAGTCCAACTGAATAACTGAGCTGGGTGCATTTAAATCCAAAAGTTCATTACCTACACGCATGAATGATTTTACTTGAGGCTGGATCTGCCAGATCTGACAATCTGGCTCTGGCTTGTCATGAGGACCTCATGCATGTATTTTGCATTTTAATACATACACGCACACACACACAAGTTGCTATAATCAGTATCAACTTTGACTCATATAATCAATGCTTTTTAAAGAGATAATTGACTTAGGACTCACATTTTTTTCCTTTTCAATTCTTCTTTTTTTTTGAGACAGAGTTTCACTCTTGTTGCCCGGGCTGGAGTACAATGGTGTGATTTGGGCCCACTGCAACCTCCACCTACTGGGTTCAAGCAATTCTCCTGCCTCGGCCTCCTGAGTAGCTGGGTTTTCAGGCATGCACCCCCATGCCTGGATAATTTTTTGTATTTTTAGTAGGGACGGGGTTTTGCCATGTTGGCCAGGCTGGTCTCGAACTCCCGACCTCAAGCGATCTGCCAAGCTTGACCTCCCAAAGTTCTGGGATTACAGGCGTGAGCCACTGCACCTGGCTGTTTTTCATTTTCCGTTCTATTCCCACCAACACTCTAAAAATTCCTGCAGACATTTTATTTTATTTTGTCTTATTTTATATTTTATTTTATTTTTGAAATGCAGGACTCTGAAGCTTTGGCTATTCCTCTTTACCTGCTTGACTCTCAGATTTCTCAAACCGTTTGATTTACTGGCAAGTACGATGTTTAAGTACACAGGCTTATGAGTCAGTCTGGCCTGGGCTCTATCTCTCACCACCTGGGTGTCCAGGAGCTGATATTTTAGTGAGGAGACAATAAGGCAAGAAGCTATGTCTGCTCTCATAAAAGTTTATTGAGGTCGGGCATGGTGGCTCATGCCTGTAGTCCCAGCATTTTGGGAGGCTGAGGCTGGCAATCACCTGAGATCAAGAGTTTGAGACTAGCCTGGCCAACATGGGGAAACCCCGTCTCTACTAAAAATACAAAAATTAGCTGCACATGGTGGTGCATACCTGTAACCCCAGCTACTTGGGAGGCTGAGGCAGGAGAATCGCTTGAACCCGGCAGGCAGAGGGCTGCAGTGAGCCGAGATTGTGCCATTGCCCTCCAGCCTGGGTGGCAAGAGTGAAACTCTGTCTCAAAAAAAAAAAAGTTTATAGACGAAGAAACTGTGGGCAAGTAAAAAAATAAGTTTATAGACGAGGAAACCGAGGCTCAATTAGGATTAACCAACTCACCCTGGTTTGCCTGAGACTCTCACACACTGACTTGTAGTCGAAAGTCTGCATCCTGGGAGGACCCTCAGTCCTGGGCAAGCTGGGGAGGTTGGTCACCCTCAGTCAGTCAGGTTGAACTTGCCTGGGATTACATGGCAGGTGTGTACTGTGTCATGTCAGACTGTGAACCTGGGTCTGTCTGACCCTCAGGCTGGGCTGTGCTGTCTCTTGGATTCATCATGGAGAATTTGCAAAACACAGAAAGCCCTTTATTCTTCTGCCTTCTCATTGTTAACATATAAAAATGGTCAAGGGGACAGGTACAGTGGCTCACACCTGAAAGCCTAATGCTTTGGAAGGCTGAGGTGGGAGGATCGCTTGAGCCCAGGAATTGAAGGTGGCAGTGAGCTGTGATCATGTCACTGTACTCCAACCTGGGTGACAGAGTGAGACTTTGCCTCTTAAAAAAAAAAAAAAAAAGTGGTCAGCTCTCCAGAAATTATGCAAAGACAGTCAAAAAGCTCAGAGAGGGGAATTAACTTAGCCAAAGTCACACAGAAAAGCAGAAGTGAAGCCAGCTCTGACTGCTTCTCCTTTCTCCCTCTCTTCTTTTGTTCCTGCAATGTTTTTGTTCAATGTGATTTCAAAGTGCTGGGAGACAGAAGGAGGCTGCTGTGTGTTGAGGGCTTACTCTGCCAGGCATTGTACAAGAACTTTTGCTAAACTTCTCATTTAATCCTTAAAATGACCCTGTGAGATTAGGATTACCCCCATTTCACAGATGAGGAGATTGTGTCTCCAGAGGCAAAGTATGGGGGAAGAGGGAAGAGAAGAGGCCAGGAGTCCCTGAGAGGGGCTGTCCCCCAAGTCCCAGAATCCAAGCTCAGGCTGGAAGCTGAAAGGAGAATCGCCTAGAGGAATGATACCTTTCTGTTTGTTGATTCTATCTCCAACTTGGCTTCTGAAACCCCAACAGAGTCCAGTTCTTGAGGGCTGGAGCCGTTTTCCCTCCTTTTTAAAACTAGGCCATATTAAGAATGTCCCACTGTCCAGGGCCATTGAGTTGCCAGGAGCTGAGGTCTGCAGGAGGAGAGTTGTGAGCGAAGAGGAGGGAAAGTTGAATTTGGCTTTTCTGGGCACAAATAATTCTCTTGTTCTGCCTCAGCAGGAGCCTGCAGAATATTTTCCTGCTGTGCAGGCCTAAGCGGCTTCAAGGGTAAAAGTTGGTAGGCTTCTAAACTTCTCAGGGCTCAATCAGCCCTGTGCCCCAAGGCAGGTGGAGTTCTGCGCTGGAAGACCAAGTTCTGAGGCCAGACACTGCATCTGTCATGCTCATAGTCGCATTTGCTAGCTGCCAGCCTGGCACATAATAGGTGGGCATTAAGCATGTGTTGAGTTTACTCAAATTGAAATTAAGTCCTAGCTGTACCACTTAACTGGCTGTGTGACTTCAGGTAAGTCACATCACCTCTCTGAACCTCAGCTTCCTCCTCTGTAAAACGGGACCAATAACAGCAGCCTCCACCTCAGAAGAGTGTTGGGAGACTTGGATGAACTGATGCTTGTGAAGCACTTAGTGCCGGGGCCACTGGCTCACAGTAGGTGCTGCACCAATGTCAGTACACCACTTCCTTTGCACCAGGCAGCTTGTTCAATTTGTTACCTTTGGTAACTTGTTCAATTTCCATCCCCTGAAGTATGGTTATTAGAAGTTGAAGTATCTTCCCCAAGGTTAATGGCCAGTAGGTGGCAGAGCTGAGTCCTGAAGACAGAGCCCATTGCACTAACCACTGGCCTACCCAGCCTCCAGATGGTCAGGTGCTCTGCTGGGTCTTTTCTATTCCCAGCCCAGAAACAGGGTGTCTGGGGAGGCTCCCCAGAGACAGTGGCATCATTTACCAGCCATGTGACTGGGCAAGTCTTGGTCACTTCCCCATACTTCAGTATTTCCATTTGCAAAATGGGAACAACAGTATCTCTATCTCCTTCGGGTCATTGGGAAGATCAAATATAAAAAAGGGCTTGGTGGTGTCTGGCACCTTCTATGCCTTCAGTGGATGGTGGCAATGGTGGTGAGGTTGGTGGAGATCATGGTGATGAGGGTGTGCCTCAACCCTTCCTTCCTACAGGCTGGTACAATGAATGTGGTAGTGATCGGAGCGGGAGTCATTGGGCTGTCCACTGCCCTCTGCATCCATGAGCGCTACCACTCAGTCCTACAGCCACTGGACATAAAGGTCTACGCCGACCGCTTCACCCCGTTCACCACCACCGACGTGGCTGCCGGCCTCTGGCAGCCCTACGTCTCTGACAGCAGCAACCCACAGGAGGCGTGAGTGAGGGTCACATATGGTAGCCTGGGGGGCCCATGGGATTGAGTCTGCAAAGGGGTCAGGGTTCCCATCACCAAGAGCAAACCACTTGTAGAAGCTCTGATCTAGCAAAAATAAAGAAAATGCCAGGTGTGGTGGCTCACACCTGTAATCCCAGCACTTTGGGAGGTTGAGGTGGGAGGATCACTTGAGGCCAGGAGTTCCAGACCAGCCTGGGCAACATGGTGAAACGCTGTCTCTACTAAAAATAAAATAAATTAGCCCGGTGTGGTGGTGCGTGAGCCTGTAATCCCAGCTACTCGGGAGGCTGAGGCAGGAAAATCGCTTGAACCCAGCAGGTGGAGGTGGCAATGAGCTGAAATTCTGCCACTGCACTTGCGACAGAGTGAGACTCTGTCTCAAAGAACAAAATATAGAAAAGATTCATAAATGTTAAGCCCCTTGCTCTGTGCCAGATGCTTGGAGGCGTTGTCTCATCTTCCCTAAAATGGGTGGCTGCCAATACCACATGGTTGGTGAATCTGGAAAACTTCCTCTTTTAAAATTTATAAATATTTATTTATTTATTTATTTGAGATTGAGTTTCACTTTTGTCGCCCAGGCTGGAGTGCAATGGCATGATCCTGGCTCACTGCAACCTCTGCCACCCAGGTAGAAGAGACTCTCCTGCCTCAGCCTCCCGAATAGCTGGGATTACAGGCATCTGCCACCATGCCTGGCTAATTTTTGTATTTTTAGTAGAGACAGAGTTTCACCATGTTGGCCAGGTTGATCTCAAACTTTTGACCTCAGGTGATCTGCCTGCCTTGGCCTCCCAAAGTGCTGGGATTACTGGCGTAAGCCACTGTGCCTGGCCAAATTTTTATCTTTTAAAATAGAGACAGGGTCTCACTCTGTTGCTCAGGCTGGTCTTGAACTCCTGGGCTCAAGTGATCTTCCCTCCTTGGCCTTCCAAATCACTGGGATTACAGGTGTGAGCCAATGCACACAGCCGACTCTGGAAAGCTTCTAAGTGGGTGGATGGATGCACCGATTTATCAAAGAAGTTGCAAAGGTCATTATATTAGTTTAGAAACTGCCAGCTGCCTCAGCAAATGGAAAGCCCAATGATTAACAGCTCAAACAGATGCATGCCATCACACCTGGCTAATTTTCTTTATTTTTTGTAGAGCCAGGGTCTCTCTATGTTACCCAGGCTAGTCTCAAATTCCTGACCTCAAGTGACCCTCCTGTCTCAGCCTCCTGAAGTGCTGGGATTATAGGCATGAGCCACTGCACCCAGCCAGAATTTTAATTCACACACCTATAAAAAAACCAATGTTTCTGATCAGTGGGCAGTGATTCAGGGGCCCAGGCTCCTTCTATCTCATGGCTCTGTCATTTTTCCATGAGGCTCCTGAGGTCACCTTAATGTCACCATTGTCATGGGCCTCTGACTGTGGAAGGATCACGCAGGACCACTTGTGCAGTCTTTAGAGTCCCTCCAAGAAACAAATCACACAGTCACATTTAGCTGCAAGAGGGTCTAGGAAATGTAGGTGAGCTATGTGCCCAAGTGGAGGAGGAAAAGTTTTAGGAGCTGCAAGTCGATGTCTGCCACCAGTGTTTACAAGGAGGGGTGCCTGCAGCCAGGCTGGACAGTGCAGCTCATAATCCCCAAAGCCAGGTCAAGGCCTTCACTGAACTCCTCAGTCAGGTAATCCCATGCTGGAGGTGTAGTCCAAATGGTTATGATGGGGCAGCCTTCATTCCCTCTCTTCTTTATCCTATTAATGGAGAAATATTAGAAAAATTGGGAGGGAGAAGACCCAAGGCATTTGGGGAGCTGTAAGAGTGAACACGGTGGATTTCCAGGTTTTGGATACACCCCAAGCTCCTGATCATGCCACAGCCCCATGCCAGCTGACTTAAGGTTTTTTGCCCATCTCAGGGCATTGGGTGACCGAACTCTCTGTGACCCTTCCAGAGACTGGAACCAACAGACCTTTGACTATCTCCTGCGCCACGTCCATTCTCCCAACGCTGAAAAAATGGGCCTGTTCCTAATCTCGGGCTACAACCTCTTCCATAAAGCCATCCCGGTGGGTGAGCAGTTCCGGACCACGCAGGATGAGCACACAGGGCTGGGATGGCGAGGGTGGGTGCAGCGCAGCCTTAATCACAGATGAGGGCGGGGTGCTTTGGGTCTTGTAGGCAACAGACTCCTGGGTTCAAAACAGGTTTGATTTAAATTCTATTTTTACTTTGACAAATTGTCTTTGTTTCAAATTTTGCTGTTAAATTGGCAGAGGACAAAGAATCTTCTGGTGTCCGTGGAAAGCAGCCTGTGATTAGCATGGTTGAAATGCACACATGTTCTGCAGCGCGGGCACTGGCTGCTGAAGCCAAAAGCTTTCATGTGCCCCTGAAGGTCCCAGGACTTTTTATCAAGATGTAATAAAATACTCATCATAGCAAAAACTGCCAAAGCATTTATTATGTGCCAGGCCCAATCCTAACTAATTGACAGCTAGCGACTCATTTAATTCTCTCAATAACAGGGAGATAAGTCCTGTCCTTAGCCTCACTTAATAGATGAGAAAACAGAGGCTCCAAGAAATGGCATAACTTGCCCAAGGCCACAGAGTTTGCCAGTGGCAGAGCTGGGATTTGAACCCAGGCGATCTGTGACCACATGGTGCCCAATGTGCTAACAGGAACATCACAGCCCTGGGAGGCTTTGCTCAGGCTGCTTGGAGAGAGGGTAGTCTGGCTCTGTGCCCAGAGCCCCGTGCCAGCTCTCAAGGTTCATTCAACCTTTAGCACTGCACTAAGGGCTTTATCCATATTATCTTCTTTAACTTTCAGAGGACCAAGAGATTTTTTTTTTTTGAGACAAGGTCTCACTGTGCTGCCCAGGCTGGAGTGTAATGGTGCAATCTCGGCTCACTGCAACTTCCGCCTCCCAGGTTCAAGTGATTCTCCTGCCTCAGCCTCCCAAGTAGCTGGGATTACAGGCATGCGCCACCATGCCCAGCTAATTTTTTGTATTTTTAGTAGATACCAGGTTTCACCATGTTGGCCAGAATGGTCTTGATCCCTTGACCTCGTTATCCACCTCCCTCAGCCTCCCAAAGTGCTGGGATTACAAGTGTGCACCACTGTGCCTGCCTAATTTTTGTATTTTTAATAGAGAGGGGCCAGGCTCGTGTTAAACTCCTAACTTCAAATGATCTGCCTGCCTTGGCCTCCCAAAGTGCTGGGATTATAGGTGCAAGCCACTGTGCCTGGCCAAGAGTGATAATAATCATGATACAGGCAAGAAAACTGAGTCTACCTCAGCCTCCTGAGTATCTGGGATTACAGGTATGCACCACCCGTCTTGCTAATTTTTTTTTTTTTTTTTAACTAGAGATGGTGTTTCACCGTGTTGGCCAGGCTGGACTGGAGCTCCTGACCTCAGGTGATCCACCTGTTTCAGGTTCCCAGAGTGCTGGGATTAACAGGTGTGAGCCACTGCATCTGGCCCGTTATCATTATTATTGACTTCCATCCCTCCTGGCACCCCGTTCTCTTTCCTCTTAGGATCCTTCCTGGAAGGATACAATTCTAGGATTTCGGAAGCTGACCCCCAGAGAGCTGGATATATTTCCAGATTACAGGTGAGTTTATTGTCACAGGCAAAGGGGGCTGGAGCCCCACAATTTAGACAGACCTGTCCAGAGGCAGCAGAGGATAGAGGCACCAGATTTCCTGTCCCACCCAGGCCCTGGTACCTTGGTCTCCTGGTCCTTGGTCCAGCTCCTTCAGAGAGGCTATCCACTCAAATTGGTCTTTGGGCTGGGAGAATAGAGGGTATGAAATCACAGATCTCAAGCCCAGAAGCTCCATATCACCATCTTGTTTTGTAGATGAAGATACTGAGTTTAAAGAGGCTAAGTGATGGCCAGGTGCGGTGGCTCACACCTGTAATCCCAGCACTTTGGGAGGCCAAGGCAGATGGCTCATGAGATCAGGAGATCTAGACCATCCTGGCCAACATGGTGAAACCCCATGTCTACAAAAATACAAAAATTAGCTGGGTGTGGTTGTGCGTGCCTATAATCCCAGCTACTCAGGAGGCTGAGTCAGGAGGATCACTTGAATCAGGGAGTCAGAGATGGTGCCACTGCACTCCAGCCTGGTGACAGAGTGAGACTATCTCAAAAAAAAAAAAAAAAAAAAAAGAGGCTAAGTGACTTGCTAAGATCAAACAGCCAAGTGGCCAAACTGGGATTCCAACCCAGTCTGTATGACCCCACATCCCTCCTTTCTTTTCTTTACAGCCTGATGCCTCTCTGGTCTTCTCCTCACCATGCCTGAATCCCCTCTAAAATGCACATCCAATCTCCCTTTGCATTCTCCAATGCCAGGGGTGGCCTTGTCTGATAGAAAAATTGTCCTTGCATTGAGCTCAAAATCACTTCCCCCCTTGAACTTCAGCTTGTGGTCCTGGCATTACCCTTTGGGCCCACAGAACAACACTGCTCCCACCTCCATTTCACAGCCTTCAAATAGAGCTCTGATTTTTACCTTTATTTCCACCTTTTGCCTGCTGTGACTCTAGCTATGGCTGGTTCCACACAAGCCTAATTCTGGAGGGAAAGAACTATCTACAGTGGCTGAATGAAAGGTGAGATTTTAAGCTTCACTTTGAGGGAGGCACCTCTCAGAGACCAAGCTGTAGTAGAAGATGGTTCATGGGAATCCCCCTGCGTGGACCAATCCCAAGGTTTGAAGAAAACCCTTAGGCCTGGTGTGGGAGCTGTCCTTGGTCCTGGTCACCACTGGGTACAGAGAAAGTGGTTCCTGAGCCTAGCTGGGCATCAGAACCACCTGGGCAGCTGTTCACACATGATGTCTATTAACAACCTCTTTCAGATCCCTAATGTTTGTGTAATGGTTTTAAATGTATTCTTTTAAGATTTCCAGATATGTTTACATCATCTGCAAAATATAAGCTGCCTTTTATTTTTATCTCCTCTCTTTTTTTTTCTTTTCTAACTGCTTTGGCCAATACCTCTACAACAATGTTACTCATACAGATGATAGCGGATGTCCTCGCCTTGTTTCTAATGTTAATAGGAATCTTGTCCTGTTCTAAATTAGTGAACACTCACTTGAGAGATACATTGGTATTTACAGTCATATACAGTCATATTAAGGGAGATTCCATACATTTTAAAAATATTACTATTTTATTAAGATTTTTAGGCCAGGCATGGTGGTTCATACCTGTAATCCTAGCATTTTGAGAGGCTGAGGTGGGCAGATCACTTGAGCCCAGGAGTTCAAGACCAGCCCAGGCAACACAGTGAAACCCTGTCTCTACAGAAAAATGCAAAAATTAGCCAGGTGTAATGGTGCACACTATAGTCCCAGATACTTAGGAGACTGAAGTGGGAGGATGGCTTGATCCTGGGAGGTGGAGGCTGCAGTGAGCTGTGATCACAGCACTGTACTCCAGCCTGGCTGACAGCAAGATCCTGTCTCAAAAAAAAAAAAAAAAAGATTATAAAAATATATGGAATGTGTGGTGGCTTTTATCAGATGACTTCAGAAGACTTTTTAAATGTAGATTTCAGGACCCCACTTTATATCTACCCAATTAGAACTTCTTGGATAAGGTTCAGAATTTTTCTTTCCTTCTTTTCTTTCTTTTTTTGAGACAAAATTTTACTTTGTCACCCAGGCTGGAGTGTAGTGGCATGAACACAGCTCACAGCAGCCTCAACCTCCTAGGTTCAAGTGATCCTCCTACCTCAGCTTCCAAAGTAGCTGGGACCACATGCATGTGCCACCATAACTATCTAATTTTTCTTCTTTTTATTTTTTCTTTTTTTTTTTAAATTAAAAGTGGGTTTTCCTACTTATCTAATTTTTAAATTTTTTTTTGTAGAGATGTGGTCTCACTATGTTGCCTAGGTTGATCTCAAACCCCTGGGCTCAAGCGATCCTCCTGCCTCAGCCTCCCAAAGTGCTGGGATTATGGGAGTGAGCCATCAGGCCCAGCAGAAATTTGCATTTAGAAGTTCTCTGGTGATTCTAGTTATCAGCCATGTTTGGGAATCACTGTACTAAAGACATGGCTATTTCTCCTAACTTGGGGACACATGACTCTTGTCCAATCTTTTCTGGGAAAAACATCCCCATAGTTTTTCTGTCTTGAGGAAATGTGGAAGTGAGATAGTTCTGAGGGTATGCTTCACCTTCTTTTTGTTTTATTTCCTGTTCTTTGGATGGTTCTACTGTATTTCTAATAGTGATAGATGTTTTTCCTGTGGGATGTTTAAAGGGAGGGTGATGTCCTCAGTCTACCTCCCTCCTCATGCCCAGCTCCTGACAAAGAGGAATTTGGCACTGGTACAGCTCTCCCCTTCTCTACTCTGAATCTCCTCCCCCTTGCTGTTACAAAGCAATGTGGTGGTCACAGGAAGTACTGGGAGCTAAGAGGCCTGGGTTTGAGTTCCAGCTCCATCAATGACTCACTCTATGACCTTCAGCAAGGCTCTTCTCCAACTCCATCTGCCTAACAAGGGGCTTGGACCACCTTGGGTTTCCCATGGGAGATTTTGTGGACCCCCAGTCCAGCCAGGTGCTCATGAGCTGATTTGACTACACAGCCATCTTCTCAAGCAGCATCCTGTGCGACTAATGTCCGCAGTAGTTCTTTGGGAAAGATCCCTGTGCCTCTCTCTTGGCGGGATGGGGCAGCGAACTGAATGCTGGGCTTTTTAATGTGTTTGACCATCCCAGGTTAATGGAGAGGGGAGTGAAGTTCTTCCAGCGGAAGGTGGAGTCTTTTGAGGAGGTGAGCTGCAGGGCTGGCGGGGTGGATAGGGGAGGGAGAAGAGGGGAGGCCTCTGCTTCCTGCTGCTAAGTCGGGGGCCCCCTTCTCAGGCCCCTAGGATCCCTGCAGGCCTGTCCCAGGCCCTTGCTGCAGGAGAACTCAGGTATTCTGAAGGAGGTCTCTGCCTTAATGTTGGTCATGGGAACAAAGGAATACTGGGATCATGGTGGCCGTTAGGGGCTAATTTATATCTGAGCCTCAGTGAGTTTTGGAGCTAGAGAACTGGCTGCCTCTTCTCAGTGTCAGCTGCACTCACTCCAGGGTCAGGTATTTGGTTGCTTCCTAGCCCTACTGACATTTGGGTTGCTTTTTCTGCAAAGTTCAGGCCCTCAGCTGACTTACCTCTAAAGCAACACCACCACTAATAATAATGATTAGAGCAGCCACGATCTCTAGGCAGCAGCAACAAGAGCTTTGCTGTATGGCTTCATTCAATCCCTGCATCTAGAATCCTGCTTGGCATGTGGAAGGCACTCCATGCACGTAGCTACTAGTGCTATGTTATGAAGACTAACCTGCTCTGGGTCGGGCCCTGATGGACACTGGAGATACATGGTTGACTCAATGCAGTCCTCATTCTCAAATCACTAGCTCAGGAACAATAGTCATACCTTGCAATGTGTGTGTCCCATGATTGACTTGGGATGAGAGTCGCTGGGCCTGGGCTGGAGAGCTTGGGAGTCCAACACGCATGCCTGAACCATTGATCATCTCATCCGTAGAGAGAGCTAGGGGTTTCAAAGTGTCTTCCGCAATATCTTGGCAGAGTAGAAGGCAAGAGAATAAAGTTAAAAGGAGTCAGAAGGCTGGGAGTGGTGGCTCACACCTGTAATCCCAGCACTTTGGGAGGCTGAGGTGGGCAGATCACGAGGTCAAGAGATCAAGACCATCCTGGCCAACATTGTGAAATCCCATCTCTACTAAAAATACAAAAATAAGCTGGGCATGGTGGTGGGCACGTGTAGTCTCAGCTACTCAGGAGGCTGAGGCAGGAGAATCGCTTGAACCTGGGAGGCAGAGGTTGCAGTGAGCTGAGATCACACCACTGCACTCCAGCCTGGGTGACAAGGAGAGATTCTGTCTAAAAAAAAAAACAAAAGTCAGAAGGAGAAAGAGAACTATCTCTGCTTCCTTTCCGACTTCTTTTGGGAGGTTCCAGGAAGATTTCCTCCATCCAAAAAATGGCTTTACAACCACTTTTATATGCAGAGTTGTATAGGAGCCTCATAGCAGCCTGTGAACAAGCATGGGCAGCCTCATTTTGCAGAGGCAGCTGAGCGTGAAGGAGGTAAAGAGCCGTTTTCAAGGTCACACATCAGATCAATGGCAGAGGGAAAATTTGGAGCCAGGCCCCCCTGATTCCTCATTGAGACCTCTCCCTACTGTTCATTGGGTAGTGGACAGACTGGGGATAGGAGAAAGGGGAAGACAGAGCAGGAATACCGGGGTCTTCCCCACCTTTCATCCCCCACTACCCTGTTGGTTGCTACCAGGTGGCAAGAGAAGGCGCGGACGTGATTGTCAACTGCACTGGGGTATGGGCTGGGGCGCTGCAACCAGACCCTCTGCTGCAGCCAGGCCGGGGGCAGATCATTAAGGTGAGTGTGAGGGTGAGCCTCCTGGTTTTGTTACTAGGAAGGTCATTCTGCATGCTTATTTTATCTCTCAAGATAATGGACAGATCGGGAACACCTGTTAGAGGAGCCCCCAGACTGCTGGGAACTGACATGTTAAAACAACAAACCTGTCCCACCTCCATTGCGCTCTTTCAGGATTTCCTCTTGATGGTGAAGCATGCATGTATGGACTTGTACCTATGTGGGAGCAGCATATGCCTGTATTGCAAGAAAAATAGCACACATTTATGGAGTGTTTACCAAGCACCAGATACAGGCCTAAGCACTTTATTGTGTTAATTGTTGTTATTATTATTATGATTGACACAGGGCATCCCTCTGTTGCCCAGGCTAGAGTGCAGTATCTCAATCATGGCTCGCTGCAGCCTTGACCTCCTAGGCTCAGGTGATCCTCCCACCTCTGCCTACTGAGTAGCTAGGACTACAGGCACATGCCACCACCATGCCCAGCTAATTTTTAGATATTTTTTAGAGGCAGGGTTTTACTATGTTGTTCAGGCTGGTCTCAAATGTCTGGGCTCAAGTGATCCCCTGCCTCGGCCTGTCAAAGTGCTGGAATTACAGGTGTGAGCCACCACTCTCAGCCCATCGTGTTAATTAATTTAGTGATTACCACGCCCCTTTGAGCTGGATACTACCATATCATTACTGCCATCTTACAGATGAAGAAACTGAGGCACAAAGAGTTAAGTAACAGGCACAAGTTCACAGAATACTAAGCAGAGGAATTGGGATTGAAACCCAGGCAACCTGGCTTAAGGGCCTGTGTGTGGAAGCATTGTTCCATGCTGCCTCTTGCTGTGTGTGTGTGTGTGAGGGTATGTCTGTGCATGTATGTGAGGGCGTGTGTATGTATGTGAGGGTGTGTGTTTATGTATGTGAGGGTGTGGGCATGTATGTAAGGGTGTGTGTATGTATGTGACGATGTGTGTGTATGTGAGGGTGTGTGTGCATGTATGTGAGGGTGTGGGTATGTATGTGAGGGTGTGTGTATGTATGTGAGGGTGTATGTGTATGTATGTGAGGGTGTGGGCATGTATGTGAGGGTGTGTGTATGTATGTGATGATGTGTATGTATGTGAGGGTGTATGTGTATGTATGTGAGGGTGTGTGTATGTATGTGATGATGTGTGTATGTGAGGGTGTGTGTGCATGTATGTGAGTGTGTGTGTGTATGTATGTGAGAGTGTGGCATGCGTGTGAGGGTGTGTGTCTGAGGGGTGTGTGTGCATGTATGTGAGGGTGTGTGCATGTGTGAGGATGTGTATCCATGTGTGTGAGGGTATGTGTGCATGTGCACTTGTGAGTGTTCATAGGTGTGCAAGTGTGTGGGGTGCATGTGTGTGTTCCTAATGTGGGTTGATAAGTGTGACAACCAAAGTGAGTGACTGAGGCATAAGTCTCAAATCATCGAGGTTTATGGAACCAGCTTGAGGGTGCACCCAGGAAAAATGCGAGTCACAGATGCACCTGTGACTCTTGTTTTCCAAAGAGGTTCTCTGGAGATTTAGTGTTAATACATTTTCTTTTTTTTTTTTTTTTTGAGATGGAGTTTCGCTCTTGTTACCCAGGCTGGAGTGCAATGGCGCGACCTCGGCTCACTGCAACCTCTGCCTCCTGGGTTCAGGCAATTCTCCTGCCTCAGCCTCCTGAGTAGCTGGGATTACAGGCATGCACCACCATGCCTAGCTAATTTTTGCATTTTTAGTAGAGACGGGGTTTCACCATGTTGACCAGGATGGTCTCCATCTCTTAACCTCGTGATCCACCCGCCTCGGCCTCCCGAAGTGCTGGGATTACAGGCTTGAGCCACCGCGCCCGGCCACATTTTCTTTTTTTAAAAAAGTGGGAGAATGGTGCAGCAGTGAGACAAATGATTCCACACTTGTGGGACTTTAGTTAGTGCCCACTAAACTACATTTTACATAAGATAAGACTAAGGTTTGAAGAAAGAAGGAATGGAGGAAGTTCTGTACCTGGGAAGATAAGCTGGTCATTGACATGATCAGTGTGGAGTCTGTTGAAAGGGCTGGTTTCTGCTTACCCCTTAGAGAAGAAAGCCTACCTTTCATCAGGTCATCAAGGCGGGGTGTATAATGAGGCATGTCGGGCCTCCCATCCCATCACAGCTGTGAATTCAGCTGCAAGATTTCTCTGGGGCTCCTGGGACCAAGAGGGGGTCTGTTCAGTCAGTTGGGAGCTTGGAATTTTATTTTTATTTCTCATGTGTATATATTTACATGTGTGTACTGGGGCTCTTCTTAGGACATGTGGGCGAGGAGATGCAACGCTTCAGGGAGCAGGGGTGACTGCCAGTTAGGGTGGCTCTTCCTGCAGGAGGCAAGCAGTCAGGTGCAGACTTGGGCCATAGGGTCATGAGAGGTCTGGCCACTCTTGTCATGACATCTGGCCACAGAGGGGAGCAAGGGCAGCCCCAGTCACCTCTGCTGATGACTTTCCTGTCCTGAATCAACAGGTGGACGCCCCTTGGATGAAGCACTTCATTGTCACCCATGACCCAGACAGCAGCATCTACAATTGCCCATACATCATCCCAGGGTAAAATTGGACTGTTTTAGGGCGGAAGACGCGTCCCCTTCTTGCCCTCTTCCTCCCCCTGCTGCCTGCCCCAGGCTCCTTCCTCCCCACAGTTGTTCCCTTTCAATGTTTTTGTTTATTTTTTTATTTACTAATTATTTTTTTAAGACAGAGTTTTGCTCTTGTTGCCCAGGCTGGAGTGCAACGGCGTGATCTTGGCTTACTGCAACCTCTGCCTCCCGGGTTCAAGAGATTCTTCTGCCTCAGCCTCCTAAGTAGCTGAGATTACAGAGGCCCGCTATCATGCCCAGTTAATTTTTTGTATTTTTAGTAGAGATGGGGGTTTCACCATGTTGACCAGGCTGGTCTCGAACTCCTGACTCAGGTGATCCACCCACCTCACCTTCCAAAGTGCTGAGATTACAGGTGTGAGCCACTGAGCCAGGCCCCTTTCAGTGTTGTTAAAGTGAGTTTGAACTACTGAATCCCTGGGAAGGCAGACTCAGCTTCAGCTGAGGTCTACGGTGAACATTCTTTTGGATGACAGTAGCGGTGATGCTGGAGACAAAGGCAGTGGATGTGATGCACTGGATGTGTAGGTGGCTCACACCTGGAATCCCAGCACTTTGGGAGGCCTATGTGGGAGGATTGTTTGAGCCTGGGAGTTCAAGGCCAGTCTGGGCAACATGGTGAGACCCTGTCTCTACAAAAATTAGCCAGGCATGATGATGTATGCCTGTGGTCCCAGCTACTCAGGAGGCTGAGGTGGGAGGATTGCTTGAGCCTGGGAAGTCAAGGATACAGTGAGCCATGATCACACCACTGCACTCCAGCCTGGGCCACAGAGCGAGATCCTGTCAAAAAAAAAGTGGTGTGAATGACAATAGTGGGAGTGGGAATGGGAATGGTGGTTGGGGCTGATGGTGATGGTAATGTTAATGGTGGCCATGACAATGTCACTGAAACCAGTGGTGGTGTTCATGGGATGATAATATTGTTGATAGTGGAATGGTGGTAATAGGAATAATATTGTATTGATGGGGAAGACAACGTTCATGGGGGTGGTGATTGACATGAGAGTAGTAGAGTTGTGATGCTGATGGAGGTGGCCTGGTGCTGATGACGAGGTCAATGTGGATGAAGGTGTGATTGGGAGTGGGGATGGTAGTTGGTGCTGATGGAAATGACACTGTCGACGGTATTCATACCATGGCAGAGCTGACAATCCCAAAGGCGATGTTAATAACATCATTGCACCGACCATGTTGTCTCAATGGCGATGTTAATGGTGTGGCGACGATGGCAGTATCAACGGCATTGTTAACAGTGGTGGTGAAATGATGAATGCGGTTGATGGTGATGACCTATGAATGGTATTTGGGAAGACAATGTTGTTGATAGAGGTGACAGCATTGATGGAAATGGTGATGGAAGAGTTAGTGATGGGTGTTGATGGTGGTGACAGTGGTAGTTGAGGTAGTGATGTTGGTGTTGCTAGCAGAGGTGACAAGGTTGATGGTAATGACCTGTATTCATCTCAAAGCCTTCTTTTCCTTCATCCTTGACCCTCCTTATTTGTATCCAGGGCCCAGACAGTTACTCTTGGGGGCATCTTCCAGTTGGGAAACTGGAGTGAACAAAACAATATCCAGGACCACAACACCATTTGGGAAGGCTGCTGCAGGCTGGAGCCCACACTGAAGGTAAGGTAGGGAGAAATACAGTGCCTTAGACAAGGTCCTGGCAGCTTGGCCATGAGGACACTTCAGGATGGGAAGATGCTACCACCAGGACAATTGGGCAAATTAATTCCAGCAAAGGATGTGAAATGTAACACAATTTGACAATGTACAGGGAAGTTCTGGCTATGGGCTAATGAATCGTACCTGGCCATGGCTGAGAGCCCTTGGTTTTCATGTTTGTCTGCAAGTGATGATGACGGTAGTGATGGTGATGAGGACGGGGGTAGAAGTGGGAGTTGGTATTGAAGGTGAGGAAATCCTGAGAATGGTAATAATGATGGTGATAAGGTGGTGACTGTTGGTAAAATTATGGTGGTGGCTGATGGTTAGGGTGGTGGTTGATGATGGAATTGGTGGAAGAGTGGCAGCAGTGATGGCAATGTTGTTGGTAGCTGATGAAGATGGTGTTGTTGGTAGTGGTGACTGATAAAGGTGACTGTGATTATACTGGCGGTGGTGATGAGATTCTAAAAGCTAACTCCCTACTACCTAAAAATGGCAGCAGGACAAAAAAAATCTGAAAATGAGTGATCAGTACTTTTCTTTCCAGAATGCAAGAATTATTGGTGAATGGACTGGCTTCCGGCCAGTACGCCCTCAAATTCGGCTAGAAAGAGAACAGCTTCGTGTTGGACCTTCAAACACAGAGGTATGCTCCCATGGCAAGGAAAGCAATGCCCTCCTCCACTCCTCAGATGGCTCTGGCATTTTCAGGGAACAGTCATGTCTGATCTCAGGCAGGGGTAGTAGTGGTTAATATCCCCTCCTCTATAAATGGGGAAATTGAGGCTCAATGATGGTAAAGGACCTGCTCAAGGTTACATAGAGGGGCCGTGGTGATGTTACTGGAGGTGATGTGGTGCTGATGAGATCAGTGTTGCTAATGGTGTGATTGGGAGTGGGGATGGTAGTTGGTGCTGATGGAAATGACACTCTCAAGGATGTTAATACTGCAGCAGAGGTGACAATCTCAAAGGCAGTGTTAACATGGCTGTGCCAACTGTCTCAGTGGTGATGTTAATGGTGTGGCAGAGATGATGGTATCAATGGCAGTGTTAACAGTGGTGGTGAAATGGTGAATGGGGTTGATTTTCTAGAGTCTATGGCCAAATAGCAGGAAAAATGGGTACTTACTGGATGTGTACCTCGCACCAGACACAGCAGCAAGTCCATTACATGAATGACCTTATTAAATCTCCTTGGAGCTCTTTGGGATAGGGACAGTTCTCATGCTTCAGATGAGGAAACTGGGGTGAATTAAGAGGTGAAGTCACTCCCCCAAATCAGGCCACAGTTGGAGAGCAGGGCTGGGATATGAGTTGAATTTTACTCAAAGTTATTTTCCAGATCCATTTTGTGATGGTCCCTCATCTCTTGCTACTATTCCAGGGGTCCCTACCATTCCACCTGGGTGTCAAGAGAAAGTCAGGGGGCATCTAGTTTTGCCCAGGATTCCTCAGGAGGTTCCTGAGCCTTCCAGGGCAGGAGAGCTTCATCTCTTTCCACTGTCCCTCTCGGACCTGGCCACCTTCTCTCTTGTCTCTCCTAGGTCATCCACAACTACGGCCATGGAGGCTACGGGCTCACCATCCACTGGGGATGTGCCCTGGAGGCAGCCAAGCTCTTTGGGAGAATCCTGGAGGAAAAGAAGTTGTCCAGAATGCCACCATCCCACCTCTGAAGACCCCAGGGACTGCTGCCTGCCCCCCAAGAACTCCCATTTCCCCTCAGCCAACGAATCAATGTGCTCCTTCATAAGCCATTGCTTATCCCTCACTTCTTTCCCCAAAGAAGCATGAGCTGAGAGAAAACCATGAAGTCCATGCCTGGAGAGGGGTGCAGTCCCACATGGGGCCCCTCTCAGCGCCAAAATCCCTCTACTTTCTCTGGGCCTGGTATTATAAAGAACAGCTGGGGGCTGTGATTCCATGAGTCTTCAGAAGAAAAGACGAAGCTCAGAAAATCAAAGAGGCCAACTGCCCAGAGCCACAGAAAATTGAGGCTAAGTAACCTGATTACAAGTCATACTAACACAATAAAGGTTCTGAAAAGTCCTGCAGCAAAGGTAACGATCGATCTGATGTTGTTTAACCCTGTGCTTCCTATCTGGCCATGGAAATCTTTTGCCCAGAGCACCCATGAATGCCATGAAACGAATCTGAGAAAACGCTAGAACAGCTTTTGTTGTTTCAGTTGTATTTGTTGCAGGAGGTTATACATACAACTGGGGTGTGCAGGAGGCAGCGAGGTGAGGCATTGAACTAGTAACACGTGGTGCTTGTTCCACATCCAGGATTCCAAATGGCATCAGCTATTCACCGAGTGGTCCCAGGTGCACCATGTAACCTTTGAGGAGAGGCCACTGGAGGGATCACTCCATAAGGAACCCCTTCCTAGAGAACTGTTTTAGTCCATTTCCTGTTGCCTATAACAGAACACCTGAAACTGGGGAATTTTTTTTTTTTTTAATACAGGGTCCCGCCTTAGGCTCCCGAGTAGCTGGGATTACAGGTATGTACCACCATGCCTGGCTAATTTTTGTATTTCTATTAGAGATGGGGTTTCACCGTGTTGGCCAGGCTGGTCTCGAACTCCTGATCTCGTGATCCGCCCACCTTGGCCTCGCAAAGTGCTGGGATTACAGGTGTGAGCCACCATGCCTGGCCCAGTGCTTCACTTTCAACTACCACACAATATTGAATCCAAATTGTGGGGAAGAGGGGAGTATGAGCTATGAAGCGATTGCTTGGGCCTCTTCCTGAACTCTCTGCAAACACATTGGAAGCGAACTAGCTCTCTCTTCCTCATAGCCAGCTGGGCCAAGATGAGAGGACTCTAACGAGGCTCCCAGGGCAGGGACACTTCCTGGTGCTTGGAGTGAGACCCAGCATTTAGTTTTTGACCAAAGTGATTTCTTTACCTAACCTAAAATTCTGTAGGGCAGAGGTGGGCAGGGGTCCCCAACCCCAGGCCGAGGACTGATAATGGTCTGTGGCCTGTTAGGAACTGGGCCACACAGCAGGGCGTGGACGGTGGGTGTGCGAGTGATGTGCTCCACCTCCTGTCAGATCAGCAGTGGCATTAGATTCTCACAGGAGCCTGAACCCTATCGTGAACTGTGCACGCGAGGGATCTGGGTTGCGTGCTCCTTCCGAGAAATCTTTTTTTTTTTTTTTTTGAGACTGACTCTCGTTCTGTCACCTAGGCTGGAGTGCACTGGCATAATCTCAGCTTACTGAAACCACTGCCTCCTGGGTTCAAGTGATTTTTTCCTGCCTCAGTCGCCCAAGTAACTGGGATTACAGGGGCGTGCCAGCATGCCTGGCTAATTTTTTGTATTTTTAGTAGAGGCGGGGTTTTACCATGTTGGCCAGGCCGGTCTTGAACTTCCACACCTCAAGTGATTCACCCACCTTGGCCTCCCAAAGTGCTGGGATTACAAGCATGAGCCACCACCCTGGCCACTTATGAGAAATCTAATGCCTAGACTACCACCACCCCCCGCAGCAGCCCATCTTTGGAAAAACTGTCTTCCATGAAACCAGTCCCTGGTGCCAAAAGGTTGGGGACAGCTGCTTTAGGTAGAATGATTCCTACCTGCCAGCCAAGGCTAGTTGTCAGTAGAAATCCTACAGGACTGAGTACACAGTGAACTCACAAAACTATATGGGGCCAGGAGACACCACATTCAGACCCAAAATGACCCTCTTGTTCTTTCTGCAAATGGTAAGAACCTCCTTGAAAATGTGTCCTAAAATTCATAATAGAAGAATCATAGGGAAATCCTGCAACCCACATAGTTCTGTAGATTTTGCAGTGTTTGATTTCTATACAGGAAGTCTTCACTTAATGTCACTGCTAAAAAAATTAGCCAGGCGTGGTGGTACACACCTGTAATCCCAGCAACATGGGAGGGTGAGGCACAAGAACTACTTGAACCCAAGAGGCGGAGGTTGCAGTGAGCCTAGACTGCGCTACTGCATTCCAGCCTGGGTGACAGAGCGAGACTGTCTCCCAAAAAAATAATTAAAATAAAATATAAACACGAATAAACATCACATGCACATCTCTGGGGTGTGGGAGGAAATCAGGATACCTGGAGAACAACCATGCAGACGTGGAGAGAAGAGCAAACTCCACACAGACAGAGGCCCCTGCTGGAATTGTTTTTTTTTTTTCTCATCATGATTGTAACAAAACAATGGTTATCGGAGGATGAGTTATACTTTTCCTTTGCCTAACACTGCTACGTCTGTCCTGAAGGCAATTTGCAACCAGATTTTCAGAGAGTTCTTAGCAGCTCGATGAATTCAGAAAAGGCGATTCTTTCCTCATTGAATCGTCTTGGCACCTTTGTGGAAAACCAGTTGACTACAGATGTATGGGTTTGGCCAGGCACAGTGGCTCATGCCTCTAATTCCAACACTGGGAGGCCGAGGCGGGCGGATCACTTGAGCTCAGGAATTCAAGACCACCCTGGGAAACATGGGGAAACCCTGTTTCTATCAAAAATACAAAAAATTAGCCAGGCGTGGTGATGCACACCAGTGGTCCCTGCTAATTGGGAGGCTGAGGTGGGAGCATCACTGGAGCCTGGGAAGTCAAGGCTGCAGTGAGCTGTGATCTCGTCACTGCACTCCAGCCTGGATGACAGAGTGAGATGCTGTCTCCATAATAAAAATAAAAATAAATGTATGGGTTTATTTTTGGACCCTATTCCAGGGATCTATCTTATGCTAGAACCACACTGTCTTGATTCCCATAGCATTGTGGTATATTTTAAAATCAGGAAGTACGAGTCCCCCAACTTTATTCCTCTTTTTCAAGACTTTTGTTTTGGCTCTCCTGGGTCCTTTTCACTTCTATATGAGTTTAAAATCAGCTTGCCAGGCTAGGCGTGGTGGCTCACACCTGTAATCTCGGCACTTTTGGGGAGACCAAGGCCGGCGGATCACTTGAGGCCAGGAGTTCAAGACCAGTTGGAGCAACAAGACCAGCTGGGGCAATAAGACCAGCTAGGGCAACTCTACCAAAAATACAAAAAAAGTTAGCTGGGCATGGTGGCACATGCCTGTAATTCCAGCTAGTCAGGAGGCTGAGGCGGGAGAATCACCTGAACCCAAGAGGCAGAGGTTGCAGTAAGCTGAGGCTGTGCCACTGCACTCCCGCCTGGGTGACAGAGCAACACTCCATCTCAAAAACAAAAGCAAAAACAAAACAAAACAAAAAACCAACTTGACAATTTCTGCAATAAAAATAAAAATAGAAATAAGCCAGCTGAGAGATTTTGACAGGAATTGTGTTGAATCTATAGGTAAATTTAGAGAGTACAGATTGACATCTTAACAGTTTTAGGTCTTCTGATTCATGAATATGAAATGTTTCTCCATTTAGTTAGATCTTCAAGTTCTTTCAGCAATGCTCTGTAGTTTGTAGGTCTTACACTCCATTTATTAAACTTATTCCTAAGTATTTTATTTGTTTTGATGCTATTGGGAGTGGAATTGTTTTCTTATTGATGAATTTAGAAAGCACTGTCTTCTCTGGCATGGTGAGGGTTGGGGCATTTTAGTGGTTCATCATAAAATACTCTTGATTAATTGAGAATGATTATTGCCAGGCACCATGGCTCATTCCTGTAATCCCAGCTACTTGGGAGGCTGATGTGGGAAGATCACTTGAGCCTAGGAGTTTGAGACAAGCCTGGGCAACATAGCATCTCAAAAAAGAGAGAATGATTATATGTGATGTATGTGGATATTTAAATATAGAATATAGTAAGGTACCACCAGTGACCAAAGTCTGGCTGAAATCCCTAAATCCTTGAGGAGTCAGAAGATGCTTCAGGATGCTCTAGAGCTTCAGGGTTGGCATCCCTTGGGTCTCCTATGACACTCCTGTCAGCACCCATCCTTAGCACCCATATTACACTGTATCACAATGATGTGTGCATGCATGTTCCCTAGTGCCCTGTGGGAGCCTGAAGATGAGGAAGATCTCCTTCCTGCTTCCTCTTCCTTCTTCCTCCTTCCTCTTTCTTATTCCTCCTCCTCTTCCTTCTTCTTCTTCCTCCTCCCTCTTCCCTCCTCCTCCTCTTCCTCTACTCCTTCCTCCTCTTTCTCTACTCCTTCCTCCTCCTCCTCCTTCTTTCTTCTTCCACTTCATTGTGAACCAGAGTCTCACTCTGTCACCCAGGCTGGAGTGCAGTGGCATGATACAGCCTCAACTTCCCAGGCTCAGGTGATTCTCCCACCTCAGCCTCTGAGTAGCTGGGGCCACAGGAGCACACCACCTTTTTAGAAGTCAGGGTTTTGCCACGTTGCACAGGCTGGTCTCGAACTTCTGGGCTCAAGCGATCCTCCCATCTGCCCTCCCAAAGTGCTGGGATTACAGGAGTGAGCCACCAAGCTCAGCTTTCTTTTCTTTTTTCTTTTTCTTTATTTTTTAAAAATTGTTTTTATTTTAAAGACAGGGTTTCACCATGTTGGCCAGGCTGGTCTTGAACTCCTGACCTCAGGTGATCTGCCCACCTCAGCCTCCCAAAGTGCTTGGATTACAGGTATGAGCCACCGTGCCCAGGCTTCTTTTTCTTATTTTTATTTTTTTAAGCGATGGGTTCTCACTATATTGCCCAGGCTGGAGTGCAGTGGCTATTCACAGGCGCAATCCCACTACTGATCAGCACGGGAGTTTTGACCTGCTCCATTTCTGACTTGGGCCAGTTCACCCCTCCTTAGGCAACCTGGTGGTCCCCCGCTCCCGGGAGGTCACCATATTGATGCCAAACTTAGTGCGGACACCCGATTGGCATAACGCACTACAGCCCAGAACTCCTGGGCTCAAGCAATCCTCCCACCTCAGCCTCCCGAGCAGCTGGGACTACAGGCACATGCCACGGCGCCAAGCCTTCTTTTCTTTTTTTTTTTTGAGACAGAGTTTCGCTCTTGTTACCTAGGCTGAGTGCAATGGCATGATCTTGGCTCACTGCAACCTCCGCCTCCTGGGTTCAGGCAATTCTCCTGCCTCAGCCTCCTGAGTAGCTGGGATTACAGGCATGCACCACCATGCCTAGCTAATTTTTGCATTTTTAGTAGAGACGGGGTTTCACCATGTTGACCAGGATGGTCTCAATCTCTTGACTTCGTGATCCACCCACCTCAGCCTCCTAAAGTGCTGGGATTACAGGCTTGAACCACCGCGCCTGGCCTTTTTTTTTAAGAGACAGGATCTCACCCATCATTCAGGCTGGAATGCAGTGGCAGGATCAAATCTCACGGCAGCCTCAAACTCCTGGCCTCAAGTGATCCTCCCACATCAGCTTCCCAAAGTGCTGGGATTGCAGGCATGAGCCACTGCATCCAGCCAGGACTGTTTTATGATTTTTTGCATCCTCAGTGTTGAATATCATGTCCAGTACACGCTGGATATTCCATGCATACTGACCACTTGCCATGACATGATCTGTAAGAGAGTTCTGATGAACAGACTTGAGAGGTGACGCACATGTCACTGCAGATTCCAGGCATACCAGCAATTATCTGTTCCACCCTGCTGAAGGGCAGGCCAGCGCCACCATGTCTATACCTCCCCACCACTCCTTTCTGACCCAACTGAATTGGACCAGGACTCTACCCAACGCTAAACTGGGACAATCAGCTTCCTTTCCTGAAGATTCGGGAGTGGGGCACTAAGCAGCTGAGTCAGGTGTGTTTGCAGAGCTGAGTTATGAGCCCACGGAAGCCCTGTGCATGATCATGCATACACAGCAGCCACGAGGAAACAGAAGGAAGCCAGTCTGCAGAAAAGGGGAGAAACAAGAGCCACAGATTCAGAGGGGCAGCGGTCTTGGGCCCTGATGGCTCCCCAACTCCCTGTTCCCCAGAATGACACCAGGCTGTACTTTCTTGCTATGCAATCTCTCTAAACTGTCAGAAGCTACAAACCATCAGCTCATCAACCAAAGCTTCACTGCAGATGCATTTTATTGAACTCAAACATCATTTGAACATTTTTGATCCAATACACTAATATTTGGATATTTCACAGAAAAACCTAGACTCCTCTCTTGAACATTGGAAGATCTGGTCACACGGGACAGACGATGGCACATCAGGTGGAAGGGAGTTGCAGCCACCCTCTGCAGACAGGGCTGGTGTTTCTCTCTCTGCTACAGTCCCTGCTCTTGTTCTTTACACCTTTTCCATTTCCCTGATTTGCATTGCCTGAAGTTCTCCTGTAGGAAATTAACTACTGATCCCAGTCTTACAATAAAGCTTGATTTTTAAATTTTAATTAGCCTGAGTAGAATTTATTTTCCTTGCAATGGAAACAGCGTGATGAGAGCTCTCTGGCCTACACATCCATGGCAGGCTCCTCTTCGCAACCATTGCCCATCCAACAGCCATTGCTATTATTCTTCTGTACTAACATAATCCCAGTTTTGTGTTTAAGAGGCTGTGGGTATCCATTGATACTGGCAGACCCTTCCTTCCAGCCCTACAGCAGGATGCACGCTAGGATCGGCATGCCACCCAGGTCTGATCAATGAGAAGCAATGGTAAATCTGCTGGGGGACTTCCTTTTCTAACCAAAAACAACAGACTCTTCTGAAAGAAAACCTTTTATGACTGCTCCTTTCCCATTCTATCTTCTTCAAAAATAAATAGGTCGTCCGGCACAGAACAGCCATTTTGTGACCACGAGGTTTCAAGCACAGAGTCAAATGGCCAACATGTAGAGAACGGTGAAAAGGAAAGACAAAAAGCAGCTGCGTTCTTGATGACATTGTCGAGCGTTGAAGCTTTCCTGATCTCTGCCTGGTTTTGGTTCTAGTGGTTTAAGCCACTGTTGACTGGGATTACTGCTATTAGGTTGGTCAAAAGTAATTTCATTCGGGAGGCAGAGGTGGATGAATCACTTGAGGTCAGGAGTTTGAGAAAGCCTGGCTAACATGGTGAAACCCTGTCTCTACTAAAAATACAAAAATTAGCCAGGCATCAAGGTGGGCACCTGTAATTCCAGCTACTCAGGAGGCTGAGGTCAGAGAATCACTTAATCCTCGGAGGCGGAGTTGCAGTGAGCCGAGACTTTGTCTCAAAAAAAAAGTAATTGTGGTTTTTGCCATTGAAAGTAATGGCAGGGGAGACGCTTGATGTCATCATTCGAGGCTTTCTGTTGCTCAATATTATATTAAAAACAATGAATATTCTTATCCATTTCAAAGCCATTTCTAAGATACTGTTTCATCCCATTGGGAACACCACCAGGGTCAGTTATATGTTTTTGAGAATACTTGAAGAGAAAGAAATATATAGCTCTGGCTACATTAAATATCTGCCACTTTCTGAGATCCTTCCTACCTGTGAAAGAAACATGGCATTTCCATTAATGAAAATAGGAGATTTTTGAATAGGATTGTTCAAAATTAGATATAAATGTCTTTGGCAAAAGGTCTCAGTATTCAGAGGTTTGGGTGCCTTTTGTGAGAGCTCTTGTACCATTCGATAATATTGATTTTTTTTAAAAGGGCAGGCTATTTAGAAGGCAAAGAGTTTTTAACTTTCATTTTCTCATGTAGAGAAAGCCCTCAACTCGGGTAAACCCCTTTACCCCAGTCCCTGGGAAATATTCCTGCCCACCAAGCACTCTTTCCCCCAGCTCACTGGGTTATTCTAGGGTGAGGGAGAGGACAGGATCATCCAGCAGCATCTGACCAGCCAGAAGGCAAAAGAGACAAGCAACAGTTCTGTGTTACCCAGGAGAGCTCAGCTGTCCAGAAATAATGAGAGCTATAGCCACACGTGGTTCAAGGAAATGTGGTTGTCAGAGAGAGGCAGAGATCTGCCAAGCCGCCTCCTCTCCAACTGCCTGGGCCGAGGGGGCTGCAATCCATATTTTAGAGACACAGTATTGTTTGCAGTTGATCTAGAACTTGAGCTTGAAGAAGTCCCCCATCATGACCTACACACCATTAGAAGAAAGCATTGTCTCCAACGGGCTCAGCCACAATGTTGGCAGTCAACGGTGCATCTTTCCCCACTGTTGGAAAGGAGATGATCGTACCAAAGCATTGAGATGAGTTCCGATGAACAAAGGTAGCTAGACCGATAGGCTGGACTGTCACTAGGACGTGATGACAATGAATAAACTTAGACTCTTGCGATGTCCATCACTGACATGTTTTAATAGGAGATGAACGCACACGTTGGCTTCCTTGCAATGTTTACTTCAAGCAGTGGGTAAGTCTGCTCCGGCCTTTGATGGGATCTGCCAGCTCCCTCCCTCCTTGTCTAGGTGCCCTGCCTTTACCATGGGCAAAAAAGGCTTCAGTAAACCAAATCCTGGAAGTGATGCTGCCTGCAGAGACCAACTCAAAACCCAGTTGGCCTCCCTCCCCTTCCTTTGAAAACGTACACATTTCACACACCTGAGTCCTCCTGCCCCTCTCCACTCCATGCCAGACTCCATGACTGGAACCCCAGGGGCTGCCTTTGTGTAATGGCCAAGAAGGCCCTGGACAGAGATGCATCCCCATGGAATGAGACGGTGGGTGTAGCATCCTTTCGCTTTCTCTGCCCATTCAGCCATCTACACAAAACCCAAAGCCCTGGATTTTGGATTTTGTGCCTGGAACCTGAGTAAATTTTTTCCCATCAAGAGTCACCATTTAGGCCGGGTGTGGTGGCTCACGCCTGTAATCCCAGAACTTTGGGAGGCCGAGATGAGCAGATCACTTGAGGTCAGGAGTTCAAGACCAGCCTGGCCAACATGGTGAAACCCCGTCTCTACTAAAAATACAAAAATGAGCCGGGCATCGTGATAGGCACCTGTAATCCCAGCTACTCAGGAGGCTGAGGCAGGAGAATTGCTTGAACCCAGGAGGCAGAGGTTGCATTGAGCCAAGATCATGCAACTGCACTCCAGCCTGGGTGACAGAGCAAGACTCTGTCTCAAAAAAATAAAAAAGTCCCCATTCAGCCTGACCAAGGAGGGGATCAGGAAAGATGCCCAACCATGGCCTTGGCTGCTTCAGAAGGGGAGGCCTCTGCTCTGGCTTGAGCTTGATTCACTTTCCTTTGACCTCAGTCCTTAGTTCCCAGGGGTAACAGCTTCCTAAGGTTGTCACCCGGTGCAAGTCCAGCTGTCCCCAGGGACACATCTGGATCCCTTGGCGCCAACGGCAACTCTGGAGGGGCCTGGGCGGGAGCAGGTGGCTCCAGTTTGAATGCACAATGTCCATCTGCCAGAGAATCCACTGGTCAGGCTCTAGGGAGGCAAACAGAGGGGGCCCTGCCAGGAAATAGCTGCTGAGACCACGCCTAGATCACCTGCAATTTCAAAGAAGAAAGCCTGGGGCTGTGGGTGTGGGAGAAACCTACTGAACAGGTCCAGTGGGTGGGTGGCAGGTGTCACATGGGCCTGGGCCTGGACAGTATCTACAGAGAGATCTTTTGGTTGTTCACTGAGGGCGTGGCCGGGTGATTCTGGGTGGTGTCTGATTAGTTGCTGGCATCACCAGACCCTCCTAATATGGGTAGTTTTCCCATGCAGATCCACAGGTTATGAACAAACCTTTCCCCACATATACAGAGAACGCCCTAGAGCAAATACCTCCCCATCCCAGGGTGGACCTCAATGAATATGAGCAAATTGAGTCAAGACACAAAACCCTGTTGGTCCAGGTCGTACTCTTGGGTGAGTTCTTGATGTTGGCAATCAGTGCCCCAGTTGGGGCCCACCAGCCCCCCGAGCTCTGCAGCCTCAAAGACCAGCTCAGTCCCCCATCAGTCACTATTCCTGAGAGCCAGAGTTCGACCTGGTGACACCTGCACCATGCATTCCTCGGCCGACCATCTCCTGGCCCCACTCCCGGTGGCTGGACTCCTGTAGTCCTCGGCCTTTGGTCTCGATGGGCAAAAAGCAGGAGGCCAGGGCAGCCAGGAGGCAGCAGCCGCTGTAAACCGCCAGAGTTAGGTACACAGAGGATTCCAGCATCACCTGGGGAAGGAGACACAGGTTGGTGAAAGCATCCCTTCTGAAGCACAGACATCACCAACCATCAAACAGTATTGGTAACATCAGGCCCCCTCATGATATCTGGTTACTAAAAAGAATCTGGTGATTCCCTTCTCTCCCACTTTGTCCCTCTCTCTCCATGTGACATCGCTGCCCCTCATTTGCCTTCCTCCATGAGTAAAAGCTCCCTGAGGCCTCACCAGAAGCCAAGCAGATGCTGGTGCATGCTTGTACAGCCTATAGAATTGTGAGTCAAATAAATCTTGTTTCTGTATAAATTACTTGGTCTCAGGTATTCCTTTAAAGCAACACAAAGCAGATCAACACAGATGCCATGCCACAGCCCTGTGAGCCAAGGACTTCATCCCCATTTTACAAAGGAGAAAACTGAGGCTCAAAGAGGACAAGGGGTTCCTACCCAAGTTCATACAGATAATAAGGATGGGGCTGGGATTTGAACTGGGGTCTGCTAAGCTTGAGTCTGGCGCCTTATAACTCTGCTCTCCTCTGGGACAGTGCAGTGCCTGTGCCAACTTCCTAGTTTTCGGCACATGGCACATGGCAGAGCTGAGTCTCATTTTCTCTCTCTCTCTCTTTTTTTTGATATGGAGTCTCACTCTGTTGCCCACGCTGGAGTGCGGTGGTGTGTCCATGCTCACTGCAATCTCCACCTCCTGGGTTCAAGTAATTCTTCTGTCTCAGCCTCCCAAGTAGCTAGGAATACAGTTATGTGCCACCACATCTGGCTAATTGTTTTGTATTTTTTGTAAAGAGTGGATCTCGCCATGTTGGCCAGCCTGGTCTCCCACTCCTGACCTCAAATCATCTGCCTACTTCGGCCTCCCAAAGTGCTGGGATTCCAGGTGTGAACCATCATGCCCAGCCCATTTTTTCATTTGCCAAATGGGCATAGAGTGGTATCACTTCCTAATGAGAAGACTCTTGAGGACACCTGGCACCATGCAGACACATGGTGAACTCTCAACCAATATCAGTCAGGAGTGCCACACAATGGCCCAAACCAAAGCAGAACAGAAACACTTGGCTGAACATGTCTTTGAATTCTATTTCTCTGAAATATTCAGACTTGGCAAATCCACAGAAAGCAGATGGGTGGTTGCCAGGAGCTTGGGGGAGACAAGGAATGAGAAATGATTGCTCAGTGGGTCCAGGGGTTTATTTTGGGGTGATGAGAAAGTTTTGGAACTACATAGGAGTGGTGGTTGCCCAAAGCTGAGAATGTGCTGAATGCCACTGAATTGTTCCCTTTAAGATGGGTAACTTTGTTATGTGACATTTATCTCAATAAAAAAAGTGATGCAAACAGAAGAAAAACTAGATATTCAAAAAGCAAAGACTTACTAAGATCCCTAGATAGAAATGCTTCATGATACACGAAGAGTTGCAGAATTCTGCACTGACGTCTAATGATCTAATTCGAAAAGCAGGAATAGGCATATTTGTTTTCCACTAAATCGTGTTGGCCTACTTGTTTTCTTTACTTTTTTTTTCTTTTCCAGGGTCTCACTCCATCGCCCAGGCTGGAGTGTGGTAGCACAATCTCAGCTCGCTGCAACCTCTGCCTCTTGGGTTTGAGCGATTTTTTGCCTCAGCCGGAATTACAGGCACCTGCCACCACACCTGGCTAATCCTTGTATTTTTAGTAGAGATGGGGGTTTCACCATGTTGGCCAGGCTGGTCTCGAACTCCTGACCTGAACTCCACCCGCCTCAGTCTCCTAAAGTGTTGGGATTACAGGCGTGAGCCAGACAGTACCCAACCCTTCTTTCCTTTTGTTAAAAAAAAAAATTCAGCTTTTGTCATAGGTTAATGGGTCCACTGCAGGTTTGTTACATGGATATATTGCATGATGCTGAAGTTTGGGGTACAAATGATCCCATCACCCAGGTAGGGAGCACAGTACCCAATAGGTGATTTTTTCAGCCCATGCCTCCCACCCTTCCTCCCCAGCCTAGAGGTCCCAGTGTCCACTACTCCCATGTTCATGTCTATATGTATTCAATGCTTAGCTCCCAGAGAACATGCGGTATTTGGTTTTCTGCTCTTGCATTAATTTGCTTACCATGGCTCACTGGTTTTCATCCAAATTGTTTTTAAGCAAATCATAAAGCAGCCCAAGGATCTGCTCCACAGGGAAGACCTGGTTTGACTCCTGGATTGTCTACTTTGCACCGCACGACCGTGGGCATGTCATTTTATCCCCTGAGCCTCTGTCTTCTCACCTGCAGGCAATATTTCCTCTGTCCCCAGGTGTGCTGTTAGGATAGAATGAGCTAATGCACCCCGAGGGCTCTGCGGATTGTCGGCATGTAGTAACTGCTGGCTGTGCGTTGTTTTGTCACCCCCCAGTCCTCTGTATTTGGGGGCAGCACCTACCTGGGCAATGAACGGAGTGATGAGAGCACCCACTCTTGCCATGCCGCTGCAGGTGCCCAGGCCGAGGGCCCGTGTTGCAGTGGGGTAGACCTGAAACACCAGGGACAGATGTGGGTGTGGGGACATGCAGGTTCCTTCCTCTGCTCCAGCTCCAGGCTGATGGGACCAACCCCAGGGGCAGCCCGGAGTCAGGGTAGATCTCTCTCGTGTTGGTTATGCCCTTAAGGGACAGGGATCCTTTCCCCAAAGGGCATGGGAGGTTCAACTCAGAACTAGGGCAAGAGGCCAAGCTGTGGGTGGGAACCCAGGAAAGGTGTCTTCCCTATCTGAGGGTGGGGCTCCCCAAAGACTCTTCCATCAGGAACTGCCACATGTTCAGAACTCAGATGTCGCTCTCTACCTTCTTTTCACGAGTTCACCTTGAAGCCTGGGTCATGGGCTTTCAAGGAATTTCATAAAGAGAGATGGAAATGTTTACAGTCTCTCAGTTTGCACCCAGTAGGGTCCATGTGCCGCGTTCTTCCCTAGGCAAAGTGAGAAGGGATTGTATATCTTCCAGGTCAAGGTCATTAAGAAGGGTGCATTTTCTCCTCTCCCCTCCCTTGTCTTTTGGCTGGGAGGAGGACTCAGCCTGGGCACTATGGATGCTTTGGGGTGGCTCATTCTTTGTCATGGTGGGGAGGGTCTGCTATGCACTGTGGGATGTTTAGCAGCCTCTACCCACAAGATACCAGTAGCACATCTGCTTCCCCCTGCTACCTTATGACAATCCAGAATATTCCCAGGCATTGCCAAATGCTCCCTGAGGTGAGATCCCTGGATAAGAAAGGCACAAGATGTGAGGAGCCTGGGTCCCCAGATCACTGGAGGAGGAAAGCTGTCCCCCAACTTAGACCACCCATATTGGATTGTTATAGTATTTTATTTACTCATTTATTTGAGACAGGGTCTCACTCTATCATTCAGGCTGGAGTGCAGTGGCACAATCATGGCTCACCGCAGCCTCTACCTCCCTGGGCTCAGGTGATCCTCCCATCTCAGTCCCACCCTGTGTAGCTAGGACAACAGGCATGTGCCACCATTCCCAGCTAACTTTTATAGTTTTTGTAAAGATAGGATTTCACTATGTTGCCCAGGTTGGTCATGAACGATCTGCCTGCCTTGACCTCCCAAAGTGCTGGGTTTACAGGCGTGAACCACTGTGCCTGGCCTGGCCTCTTTTATAAGCGACAAGCTGCTCTTGTGTCAAAACACTCCACTTTGGGAGTTCTCTGTTACATTAGCTGGCTTGTTTCTAATAAATGAAATGCTCAGTGCAGAAAGCTTGCGAAGAATAAAAACATAAAGAGGAAAATATACAACTCATTCAGGATCGCAACACTCAAAAGATTTGTCACATTTTGACGTATATTCCTCTAGTTTCTTCTGTGGCTATCTATAGCACATGCATCTTCATTCACTTACTTATTCAGGACATATTTTTTGAGTGTATACCATATGCATTTATACATGATATTTCAATTCACCCAGTTACATAAACAATATAGAAATATATTCTCTTTGTAAAAAAATCAAAATACCTAAATTCTTTTGTGATCCACTCTCTCTACCAGGAAAATTCTCCCCATAGAGCCCTACTATTAGGGATGTCTTTGGAATGTGTATTCCCAGATATGTTAAAAAATATACATATGGAAATAGCATTTTAAAAATACATAAATGGTATCATATAATACATATTATTCTGCAATTTGTCTTTTCTATTCAGTAATGTGTCTTAAAATCCTATCCACATCAATACATAGGCATCTACCTCATTCTTTTTTTTTTTTTTGACAGGGTCTTGCTCTGTTGCCCAGACTGGAGTGCAGTGGCGCGATCATGACTCACTGCAGCCTTCACTTCCTAGGCTTAAGTGATCCTACCGCCTCAGCCTTCGGAGTAGCTGGAACTACAGATGTGCACCACCACAGTCTGGCTAATTTCTATTTTATTTTTTTGGAGAGAGGGTCTTGCTACATTGCTCAGGCTGGTCTCGAACTTCCAGGTCTAAGTGATCCTCCCGCCTTGACCTCCCAAAGTGCTGGGATTACTTATTCAGGGCATACTTTTTGAGTGCATACCATATGCATTTATGTATAATATTTCCATTCATTCAATTACATAAACAATACAGAAATATGTTTTCTTTGTAAAAAATCAGAATACCTAAATTCTCTCATGATCCACTCCCTCTGCGAGGGCCACCTCATTCTTCTCAACGGTTTCTGGAAGGAGAGCATCCCCCCAGCCACTTTCTTCCCACCGCCCATTCCCCAGCAGCTCCCAGACACCCCTCCTACCTCAGGTGTGTAAACATATGCCGCTTGAAAGCCTCCAGAAATAAACGCTCTTGCAATGAAGAGTAACAGAGTGAGCACATTTCTAGGGGAGGAGGATAAAGACAGATAATGACATTTTTTTTCTGTCTGCTTGTTTCAGCCTAGTCCTAACTTCCCAGGCAGTATTAACGGCCTTGCAATTGGCAAAGATTACCCCTCCCCGATGCTCACTGATACAGGCATGTAGGCGTACATATTTCAGTACCATCTTGACAGGCATGCTTTTACAAGTTCATCATTCTTCAAAGCACCCAGCTGAGAGAAGAAAACATCTGAGGTGCCCAGGATGGGTGCAAGATTAGGGAGAAGTGTATAAATAATGGAAAGCTCAGACAAGAACTTGGCTGGGGGTAGAGCAGGAACTGTGCCAGGGGCCAGCTGAGCTGGGGAAAGTAAACCACTATTCAGTATTCTTAGGATAATTCTGATCCAAATCCTCTGTCCCATTGTTCCCACAAATGTCCCAGAACACCAACATTTCAGGGTTGAAGCTACATCTCCCAAGCTTCCTCAGACCAGGAGGTGTGGCCCACGGATTCCTCATTGGGTGATCTGGGGCCTCTCAGAGATCAAGAGAGGCATAAGCCATTTCTACATTTCGAGGCTCTTGGTGAATAGAAAAATGGAGAAATGCTAAAACGGGATCTATTTGAAATACTTACATTGAACAAGTTAACAGTTTTAACATATGCATGAATTAAATAGCTACATGTATGCTCTCATTGGGAGATGATGTCAAAAGTCTAAATTTGGCATCATTAGAGCAAAACTGGGGCCAAAGTTCCCCCCACCCCGGACAACTCCCATCAGAGGCCCCCTCCCTGGGCCTGGTCTTTTATTCGGTTGTGAGGCAGCCATGAGCCTCAGTCCTAGTGAGCACCTACACCTTTACCTGTATCTGCACCTACCCCTGGGCCTACATTGACACCTGCACTCTCACTTGTACCCACACTTGGGCCAATACCTGCACCTAGGCCAGCACCTACACCTGTGCCCACACTGGGGCCTCCACCCACATCTGGGCCTGCACCCACACCTGCGCCCATACTTGAGTCAATACCCACACCTGGGCATGTACCCATACCTGCATCCATACCTGGGCCTGCAGCTACACCTGTGCCCACACTGGGGCCTCCACCCACATCTGGGCCTGTACCCCCACTTGGGCCAATACCCACACCTGGGCTTGCACCTACACCTGTGCCCACACTGGGGCCTATGCCTGGGCCTGTACCCACACCTGCACCCACACCTGGGCCTGTACCTATACCTATGCTCACACCTGGGCCTAAGCCACACCTGTGTCCACACTTGGGGCTATGCCCATACCTGCACCTAACCCACACCTGTGCCCATACTTGGGGCTATCCCCATACCTGCGCCTAACCTACACCTGTGCCAACACTTGGGTCTATACCCACACCTGTGCCCACACTTGGGGCTATACCCACACCTGGGTCTAACCCACACCTGTGCCCACATTCGGGCTTATAAACACATCTGGGTCTGCACCCATACCTGGGCCTACACAAACATCTGCACTCACACCTGTGCCTGTACCCACACTTACACCTACACTCACACTTGGGGCTACACCTCCACCTGGGCCGGCACCCACACCCCCACCTGTGCCCATCCTCAGAACTAGGCCTGCAGACACCCACCTTCCAACACAGATAAACAGTAGGAGGCTGCAGAAGGAGAAGATGGCGAAGCACAGAGCCATGGTCTTCTTGCGCCCCAGGCGGTCGATAATCCACAGAGTCACAAGGACACCTGGAAGGGGAACGCAGACGGGTAGGCAGCTCCCGATGTGGTTCCCAATGCCCCCCACCCTGGTGGTACAGCCTGTATCATCCCCTCCCCTGGAGGGTGGACAAGACCTGGTGACTCTCTTCTAATGACTAGAAAACAGCAAAAGTGATGGGGTGTCACTTCTGAGGTCAGGTGATAAAACACTGTGGCTTCCATCTTGGTGTTCTCTCTCCCTGGCTCTTCTCATGTATTTGCTTTGATGGAGAAGGCCACCTGGCAAGGAACTGGAGGTAGCCTCTGGCCAACAGCCAGCAAGGAACTGAGGCCCTCAGTGCAAAAACCTTCAAGGAATGGAATCTTGCCAGCAACCATGTGAGTAAGCACAGGAGTGGATCCTGCCCCAGCTGAGATTTCAGATGAGATTGCAGACCCTGGGCCAATGCCTTGATTGCAGCCACATGAAATATGCTGAAGTAGAACACCCAGAGAAGCCACAGCAAGTGTGAGATCATAAGTGTGCATTGTTTTAAGCCACTACATTTTCTTTTTCCTTTTTTTTTTTTTTTTTCGAGACAGAGTCTTGCTTTGTCACCCAGGCTGGAATGCAATGGTGTGGTCTTGGTTGACTGCAAATTCTGCCTCCTGAGTTCAAGCAATTCTCCTGCCTTAGCCTCCTGAGTAGCGGGGATTACAGGCACCTGCCACCGTGCCTGGCTAATTTTTCTATTTTCAGTGCAGATGGGGTTTCACCATCTTGGCTAGGCTGGTCTTTAAATCCTGACCTTGTGATCCAATACCTCAGCCTCCCAAAGTGCTGGGATTACAGGTGTGAGCCACTGCGCCCAGCCCTAAGCCACTACATTTGTAGGAGGATTTGTTACCTGGCAATAGATACTAATCCAGGAAACCGCAGGAGCCTCAATGGTGGCATTCACTGAATCCAGGCAGCAGAATACCCAGGTTCTAATGCCTCGATTTGCCTCTAACTTGCCATGTGGTCTTGAGCTAGTCGCTTACCTCCTCTGAGCCTCAATTTCTTCATCTATAAAATGGGCCTAAAAAATAACACTCTACCTCAGTAGAGGCAGTAGAGCATAATACTTCTACTTATGTAGTATACATAATACTTCTACTTAGTAATAATAATAATTTAATTTGAGCTAAGCATTTTTACATCTCTATCTAAATTTTTTTGAGATGGAGTCTCACACTGTCACCCAGGCTGGGGTGCAGTGGTGCAACATTGGCTTATTGCAATCTCTGCCTCCTGGGTTCAAGTGATTCTCATGCCTCAGCCTCTTGAGTACCTGGGACTACAGGCGCATGCCATCACATCCAGCTAATTTTTGTATTTTTAGTAGAGACAGGATTTCGCCATGTTGGCCAGGCTGGTCTCAAACTCCTGACCTCAGGTGATCTGCCTGCCTTGGCCTCCCAAAGCACTTGGATTACAGGCATGAGCCACCATGCCCAGCCCCATTTTTACATCTATAACTTGTTTAATCATCAAAATGATCCTCTAAAATAAATGCTATTAATTTATTGAATACATTTTCCCACAGTTATTCAGTTAATGAGTATCTACTGTGTGTCAGGAACTGTTCTAGGAGATTGGGACACATCAGTGAAAAATAAAACAATACACATAGTAAATAAAGAAGAATCTGGGTTTCAGAGAGGTAAAAATCACAGAAATAGTGAGTGCTTCCTGCTACAGAAATGTCACATAACGTAAATTCCTTTCCTTTTTTTTTTCTTTTTCCAGAGAGCAATTTATTAGGCAGAGAGAGAAAGAGAGAAGTAGAGAGAGCTCCCACACTGTTGTGGGAGGGGATCCCAGAGAGGGAAATCCCGTGACTTTCTTAAAGTCACAGAAATGGAGATTGGAAATGCTGAGTTTAACTTCTGAGCCTTCGTTCTTACCTACTGAGCTATGTGGGGAAAGGGTTTTAGAGGAAAGATAGGCAGTGCAGTATCGGACTGAAGGCTCATAATTCTAGGGTGAGAGCACAGCTCTTAGCCCTGCCTGCTGTGGGGTACTCAGTATCGCAGCTGGGTTTTTCCAGAAGGAAACCCTGGGACAAGGACGTAAGTACAAGGCATCAACTTGGATGTAATCCAAGGAAGGGCCAGCAGGAGAGTGGGGAGGTAAATGTGGGAAAGGAAAGCAACTGTCAAAAGATGGGTATCGAGCAAGTCACCACTGTGGGCGACTGGTGCTGAATTCCACTGGGGGACTCAAAAGCCAGCATAAAGTATGTGCCTTGGAGTCTTCCTGCTGATGGGCAAGGATACTGGGGCATTTGTCCACCAAATCCCAGTTATTGTCTAAAGGCTGCTCCCAGGTGCTAACTCCTTGGCATGTCCTACTTTGCTTGCTTTTAGATACAGAGACTTCTCATTCCTTCTGAGACAGTCTTCAGGCCCAGAATCCTGGCAGTTGTATGTTGTGGGAACAGTTTCTGCTACACTGGGCAAATTATGTCACCACTCCAAGCCTCAGTTTCTTCAGTTGTAAAATGGGAATAACTATACGACTTCACAAGATTAAATGAGATCGTATCTGTAAGACATTTAACACAGTCCTTGACATACAATAGGTGCTCAATAAGTACTAGATATGATTGTAGTTGTAATAATTATTCCTCTTAAAGTAAAAAAGATAGATGACCTTTGCATCATGTGCAAGTTTGGATTTTTGACACTCTACTTTCCTTTCCAGTGTGCCTGGTGTTGGAGGATGATTCTCCATGGGTCTCTCATATTTCTACACATCTTATGAGCAGAGGAACCAGCTGCCCTTTGGTCCAGGCTACCATGTCAGAGTAGTTTGTATAGCAAACAGCGTTGGAAGATAGAGATACTGTCTCCCCCGGAGCAAAGGGCAGGTTTGCTTGTTGTCCGGTGTAATACAGATGATGTCTCCCTTGGGAGGTTCCTAGCAGACCATTATAAAAATCATATTTGGGCTCTCTAAGCTTAGGGTTCCCCAGCTGCACTGCAAATCCATTGCATGTGTAGCCTCCACCTGGGCCCTTCCTCATCATCCCTGTGGGACTTGGGGACAAGGGAAACAGTCACCAAGGTACTACTCAAGCTGCTTACTATAGTACTCTTTTGTCTCTGACACAGGAGTCTCATGTCTTCTGCCAGCATGCATTAAATTGGGCAGCTTAATTTCACAGCCTTTAAGTAGGGTAAAATCTCAGCCTCTTCACAGTTCTTGACAACTTATAGTTAAGGATTGAAAAACAAAGTCCCTGGCTGACTAGAAATGGGATTTGCTTCCAGGTGGGGCTGACAGAGCCACCGGCTGAACAATTGCCATATTCTCAGGCTTGCCTGCCCCAGCTTCACCTTGCATAGGTCCCTTACCTGGGAACTCAGAGAGGGTGGTCCACAGCAAGTCCATGTAATCCTCCTCACTCAGGTACTCACAGGCCAGGCTGCATTTTGCCTCTACTGCCTTCTTCCGACTGGAGACTGGGGTTGGGAGAGAGAAGGAGAGGGAGAGTCATATACAGAGTCTCGAATCACACCTTCCTGCTCCCCATACCTCCTTCTCCGGGATGATTCTGTTTAGATGCCATAGGAAGAACCCAGACTCAGAGACAGACAGACTCAGGTGTGAACACCAAGCAGTAGTGCTCCAGCTTCATCTCTCTAAGTGTGAATTTCCTCATAAAACTGGAGCAAATAAAAGCACCATGCAAACGGATTGAGAGAGTGAAAGTGGGCTGTGGGTACGAATGTGCTTAGCCCAGAATTAGCACGTAGTAGGCACTTTAGTAGCAGACAGACTCTAGGGTGGCCCCCCATCCCCACTTCCTGGTAGTCAGATTCTTGTGTAGTCCCCTCCCCTTGAGTTTGTAGGCGGGGCTTGTGACTTGCTTCTAGCCAATAGAGTACAGCAAAGGTGACAGGATGTATGTGATTGCATTACATAGGACTGAAATGCCCATCAGGCAGGACTGTCTCTTATTCTGTCCCTTGATGACTGTGAAGGAGCAAGTGGCCATGTGGGTGGCCTATGTGGTGGCAAGTAGCTGAGAGCAGCCTCTAGTTGCTGAGGGCAGCCTCAGCTGACAGCCAGCAAGAATCTGAACCTCTTAGTCCTACAACCACAAGGAATTGAATGCTACCAACAACCCACATAGGTGGGGTGGTGGGTCCTTCCACAGTTGAGCTTCCAGATGGGAACCCAGTCTTTCAGTCCTGGCTGATGCCTTGATTGCACCCTGGCAAAGGACCCTGCTAAGTTGTGTCCAGACTCTTGACCTACAGAAGCTATGAGATGATAAGTGTGTGCTGTCTCAGGCCACTAAGAAACACACATTTATCACCTCATAGTTTCTGCAGGTCAGGAGTTTGTGGTAATGCTGTTATGCAGCAATGGGTAACTAATACATGCTTATCACCTGTTCCTGTCCCTTACCATCTCCTCCTAACTTTTTTTTACTGAAAGTGAATTGGAGTGGAACCCAGTGAGTGGCCAAAGAGGTGATAGAAACAAGATTTCATTCCTGGGCCAGGCAGAGTTAATAAAGAAGGATGAATGCTACATTGCTCCCTTCCTGACCTTGCTTTACTCTCAAACTATGGGACTAGTCTCTTACAGATAGAGGTGCAGTAGTCTGAAACGTGTCTCTCCAAAATTAATGTTGAAACCTAACCTCCCTTGTGTTGGTATTAAGAGGTGGGACTTTAGGGAAGTGATTAAGTCATGAAGGCTCTTCCATCACGAATGGGATTAGTGTCTTCATTAAGGAGTTCAAAGGGAGCTCCCCAGCCCTTCTGCCACCTGAGGACATAGTGTTTGCCCCTTTTATCATGTAAGGATACCACAAGAAGATGCTGTCTATAAAGCAGAGCGCTCTCACCAGACACTGAATCCACTGGTGCCTTAATCTTGGACTTCCCAGCCCCCAGGACTGATAGAAATAAATTTCTGTTGTTTCTAAGTTACCCAGTCTAAGGTATTTTGTTATAGCAGTCCAAATGGACTCACACAACCTATCTGAAGCAGCCACTTACCAGGTAAGGCTCAGAGCGGGTGAGTGTCCCCCGAAGTTGCTCCACCTACACCTTCCCTATCTCACTTGTGGCATCTCCATCTTTCCAGTTGCTCAGGTAGAAAGCCCCGGAGGCTTCCTTGACTCTTCTATTGTACCCTATGGCCAACCCATCAGCAAATCCTGTCTGTTCAACCTTCACAATATATTAGACTAGGATTGGCCAGATTTCATCACCGCTGAGACAGAGCAGGAACCCTGTCTCAGAAGTCTTCTGCCCACCCCCCGAAACATGGAAATAAAGGAAAATCTTGAATCCCTTCAAGGGAAATTCCAGGCACCTAGCTAGTCTTCAGAAGTAACTGAAGAACTTAATAAACAGGAAGGTAATAATACCTTAAAATAATAGCCACCCAAGGAGGTTAGAGCCACGAGATGTTTGGTTCCTTACAGAAACCAAAGATAACATCTTAACATATATCCCTGAGTCAGTTTCAGAAACCCAGAACCCCACCAGATGGAAAATGCTGACCCCCATTGAGTAGACCTCAGATAAAGGAGAACTGAGGACCCAATTCTGACCACTGCCCATGATTATAAATCTTTTCCTGAGGGGCCTAGAGAGAGTCACGCCCACATTTCTTCCTGCTGACCTCAAGTTCTTAGCCAAAGAATCTCTAAAGCCACCTGTAAGGCCCCCTGCTCTTCAATATATCCCAATTTTTGGGGCCAAACCAAGGTACAGCTTCCATGGATTGAACTGTGACTTTGCCTGTAACTTCTGCTTTCCTGAAATGTACCTGCCTGTAAAAACCCTTGCTTGAAAGTCATCCAGGAGGTCAGATCTTCAGCATGAACTGCCTGATTCTCCTTGCTTGGCACCCTGCAAATAAACACTCTCCTTTCTCCCACAGCAAACTTCAGTGTGGATGTTTGACTTTACTGTGCTGCGTGAGCAGTAATACTGCCGCCACTTTTCCCACTGACCTCCTCACCAGCCATGGTCTCTTTCCAATACTTCAATCAAAACGATCCTTTTTAAACCTAAGTCAATTCCTCTGCTTAAAACTCTGCAATGACCTCCCATGATACACACAGTGGAAGCCAAAGTCCTTCAAAAATCTTCAAGACCCTCTATTATCGGCACTCAACACATCCTTGATCCCACCTTCTACTTCTTCCTCTGTTGCCCCACTAACTCTACTCCAGCACACTGGTCTTCTTGCCGCTCCTCAGGCAAGTAAGGCATGTGCCTGCCTCAGGACCTTTGCACTGGCTGCTCTCTCTTCCTAGATTGCCCTTGATCCCTCCCATGATCAATTTCCTCACTTCCTTCAAGTCTTTCTTTGAATTTCACATTCTCATTGAGGCCAAGCTGACCACCCTATTGAAAACTTCACTCGAACTACTGCCCCTTTCTCTGCCCTACATTCCTAATTTTTTTTTTTCGAGAAAGGGTCTCACTTTGTCACCCAGGCTTGAGTGCAGTGGCACAAGCACTGCTCACTGAATTCTTGAACTCCTGGCCTCAAGCAACCCTCCCACCTTAGCCTCCTGAACAGCTGGGACCACAGGCACACACCACCAGGCCCAGCTAATTATTGTATTTTTTGTAGAGATGGGGATTTGACACATTGCCCAGGATGGTCTTGAACTCCTGGCCTCAAGCAATCCTCCCTCCTCTGCCTCCCAATTGCTGGTATTACAGGTGTTAGCCACCACATCTGGGTTTGTTGCCATCTTTATGTTCATGAGTGCCCAACTTTTTTTTTTTTTGAGACAGAGTTTCACTCTTGTTGCCCAGGTTGGAGTGTGATGGCGTGATCTCAGCTCACTGCAACCTCTGCCTTCCGGGTTCAAGTGATTCTCCTGCCTCAGCCTCCCGAGTAGCTAGGATTACAGGCATCTGCCACCATGCCTGGTTAATTTTTTTTGTTTGTTTTTTTGTTTTTTTAGAGAAGGAAAGAAAAAAAAGGAGTGAAGGAGAAGAAGAAAGAGGAAGAAAAAGAGGGAGAGAGAACGGAAATGTTGCTTTATTCTAAAAATGGGTATTAATAATGGCCGATCAATATTTCATTTAAACCTATGAGTAGGTGTGATGTGGTATTGACAAGAATGTATATTTTGTATATTTAAAGTGGAGAGCTCTTTAAATATTTATTAAGTTTACTTGTTCCGGATCTGAGTTCAAGTCCTGGATATCCTTATTAATTTTCTGTCTCGTTGAGTCTAAATCTCTTTATAGGTCTTATGTATCTGGGTGTTAGGATGGTTAGCTCTTATTGTTGCATTGATCCTTTTACCACTATATCTTTGTTGCTTTAAAATCTATTTTATCAGATGTGAGAATTACAACTCCTGCTTTTTATTTATTTATTTATTTTTGCTCTTCATTTAGTTGGTAAATCTTTCTCCATCCCTTTGTTTTGAATCTTTGTGTATCCTTGCATGTGAAATGGGTCTGGATGTAACATGCTGTTGGGTTTTGGCTGTATCTTCTGATTGGGGAATTTAGTCGATTTAAATTTAGGGTTACTGCCATTTGATGTTAACTGGCTGTTTTATTCATTCGTTGATGTAAATTCTTCTTTATGTTGATGCTCTTTACTTTTTGGTATATTTTTAGAAAGGCTAATACTGGTTGTTTCTTTCTATGTGTAATGCTTCTTTCAGAAGCTCTTGTAAAGCAGGCCTGGTGGTAATAAAATCTCTGAGTACTTGCTTGTTCATAAAAGACTTTGTTTTTCCTTCAGTTGTGAAGCTTAGTTTGGCTGGATATGAAATTCTGGGATGAAAGTTCTGTTCTTTAAGGATGTTGAATATTGGCCCCCACTCTCTTCTGGCTTGTAGTGTTTCTGCTGAGAGATCTGCTCTAAGTCTGATGGGCTTCCCTTTGTGGGTAACCTGACCTTTCTCTCTGGCTGCCCTTAGTATTTTCTCCTTGTTTCAACCCTGGAGAATCTAATGATTATGTGCTGTGGGGTTGCTCTTCTTGAGGAATATCTTTGTGGTGTTCTCTGTATTACCTGGGGTTGAATATTGTCCTGCTTTGCTAGGTTGGGAAAGTTTTTCTGAATAATATCCTGAAGAGTATTTTCCAGCTTGGATTCATTCTCTCCGTCGCATTCAGGTACACCTATCAAACGTAAATTAGGTCTTTTCACATAGTTCCATATTTCTTGGAGACTTTCCTCATTCCTTTTTATCCTTTTTAATCTATTCTTGTCTTCTCGTTTTATTTCATTAAGTTGGTCTTCGACCTCTGATATCCTTTCTTCTGCTTGAGTAATTTGAGTGTTTAAACCCGTGCATACTTCTCGGAGTTCCCATATTGTATTCTTCAGTTCCATTAATTCACTTATATTCCTCTCTAAATTGTCTATTCTCATTAGGATTTCGTCAAATCTTTTTTCAAAGTTCTTAGTTTCTTTACATTGGGCTACAACATGTTCTTTTAACTCACAGAAGTTTCTTATTATCCACCTTCTGAAGCCTGATTCTGTTAATGGAATGCACTCGTTCTCCATCAAACCTTGTTCCCTTGTTGATGAGGAACTGTGATACTCTTTAGAGGGAGAGGCATTCTGATTTTGAGTATTCTCAGCCTTTTTACACTGGTTTCTTCCCATCATTGTAAATTTATCCACCTATCATCTTTGTAATAACCAACTTTCAAATTAGGTCTCCAAGTGGACGTCCAAGTTGTTAATTCCCAGGGCCGAAATTTGAGCAACGCATTGCACCAGCCAAAACAGCAGCATTAAGACTGATGGTGCTTTTCTGCCCAGGAATCTCCAGTCTGGCTTCCTTCTTGAGTCCATAATAGGTGACTCTGCCTTCCTGGAGCTCCAAATGTCTGTCAAAAGGGGAACCAGTCCCGTTTACTCTGCACCAAGAGCTGCTGCGCCGAGGTGCCGGCAAAACCGCTGCGCCGGCCACAAGAGTTGTGCTGGCGACCCATGCGGCTCCTCCACTGGGAGTCTTCTGGTCCGTGAGCGACAAAAATTTGTCTGAGAGTGTGGCGTCCTCTCATTCTCTGCGCTTTCACTGGGAGCTGCAATCCTGGGATGTTAGCAATCAGCCATCTTGGATCCGCCTTTTTTTTTGCATCTTTAGTAGAGACGGGGTTTCTCCATGTTGGTCAGGCTGATTTCGAACTCCTGACCTCAGGTGATCCACCCACCTCAGCCTCCCAAAGTTTGGGATTACAGGCATGAGCCACTGTGCCTGGCCATGAGTACCCCATGTTTAGCCCCCACCTACAAGTAAGAACATGTTGTATTTCGTTTTCTGTTCTTGTGTTAATTTGCTTAGGGTAATGGCCTCCAGCTGCATCCATGCTGCTGCAAAGGACATAATTTTGTTCTTTTATGGCTGTGTAGTAGTTCATGATGTACAGGTACCATATTTTCTTTATCCAATCCACGAAAATATGGAATGCTTCATGAATTTGCATGGAATGCTTGTGCATACCATACTAATTTTCTCTGTCTTGTTCTAATTTCAGTATATGTGCTGCTGAGGTGAGCATGTGTGAAATGAGCAAAAACGTCTTGTAGTTGTACCTTTATAGGTTATCCTCACCTTTCATTGTCTTTGAGCTATGTTGTAGAAAAATGAAAATAACATAAATGATTCTTGTATTAATCATAGAAATGCAAATAATGCCTGGTGGTGATGCAGTAGACTTCCCTATACATATGTTGACCAGTCTTGCCTCTAGTTGTAAACTCATCTCAGCATTTCTAATTGCTTGTATATGTATTTGCTTTTACTTCTCCTTTGAACCAGCTGTACCCTCTTACTGGTGTTAATAGACAATTCTCCATGGGTCTCTCACATTTCTGCATGTTTTGAGTAGAGGCACTGACTACCTTTGTTCTGGACTATTCTTTCTTTTTCTTTTCTTTTTTTTGAGATGAAGTCTTGCTCTGTCACCCAGGCTGTAATGGCATGATCTTGGCTCACTGCAACCTCCACCTCCCAGGTTCAAGGATTCTCCTGTCTCAGCCTCCAAAGTAGCTGGGATTATAAGCATGTGCCACCATGCCCAGCTAATTTTTGTATTTTTTAGTAGAGATGGAGATTCACCATGTTGGCAAGGCTGGTCTCGAACTCCTGACCTCAGGTGATTTGCCTACCTCAGCCTCCCAAAGTGCTGGGATTACAGGCATGAGCCATGTGCCTGGCCCTGGACTATATTTTCAAGGCTATTTGTTTAGCAAACAGCCTTGGAAGAAAGAGAATGTCTCCCCTTGGTACAAAGAGTAGTTTAATTATGGCTTTTGAAGATATAATATCCCTCTCCAGAGCAAAGGACAGGAATGCTCACTGTCTAGTATAAAAGATTGGGGTTCCTTAGCTCAGGGTTCTTCTCTTGTTACATAACTCAATACTTTTGTAGGTATTGCCCGTCCCTCTTCATGTTACCCTGGGGGATTCGGGGCTTAAGGAACTGGTGTAGGAAAATGCTGATACTCTGGCTACTGCAATTGCTATGAGTAATATAGTCCTTTGTCTCTGACCCAGGAGTGTTGTGTCTTCAGCTAGCACCTGTGGAAACTGTGAAAGGCTAACTTGTCAGCTTGCAAATAGGTTAAACTCAGACTTTTAGTAATTCTTAATTGATTCATTTATTAATGAATGCCTTAACTAAAATCTTAGTCATGTATTCATTTTATATTTGTATGAGAGGCATGGTTTTACCATTTGTTTAAAATTTTTCCTTTAACTCATCTATTACCTTGTAATATACTATATAATTTCTCATTATGCTATTGTCGCTCCTTCCCCCCAAATATAAGCCCACAGGGGAGAAATATTTGTATTTTGTTATTAGAATTCACTGATGTATTCTAAAGACTCTCTCTTCTTTTTCTGAGAGAGGCTCTCACTCTGTTGCCCAAGCTGGCGTGCAGTGGTGCAATCTCGTCTCACTGCAACCGCTGCTTCCTGGGCGCAAGCGGTCCTCCCACCTCAGCCTCCTAAGTGGCTAAGACCACAGATGCATGCCACCAAACCCTGCTAAGTTTCTGTAGTTTTGATAGAGACAGGGTTTCACCATGTTGCCCAGGCTGGTCTCGAACTCCTGAGCTCAAGCAATCTGCCCACCTCAGCCTCCCAAAGTTCTGGGATTACAGGCATGAGCCACTGTGACCGGCAATTTTATGAGCATTTTGAAGCAGATCATAAAACCCTCAGGTGAGAGGTGCCCTGCCTATACCCTGAGAAGAACATACTTATCTCCAAAGACGCAGGGACAGAGAAGAATCTAAACAAGCCTTGCTGCCTTCCCCCCACTAGCTCACACACTCTTTGTCCTATCATATTTCTCTATGACTCTCCATTGTTCATCAAATCTAGCACAAAAATACTCAGGCTTAACCATTTCTTCAGGTCTTCATTTCCTTATGAAGGCTCCTGTGTCTTATTTACACTAAACTTAGATTAAATAAGTTCATATGCTTTTGTCTTCTTAATCTGTCTTTTGTCATGGGGCCTCAGTCATAAAACCAGCATGAGTAGAAGAAAAGATATGCTTCCTCCTCTATACTTGCCTTCAACAACAATCTTATTTATTTATTTATTGTTGTTGTTGTTGTTTTGTGATAGAGTTTTGCTCTTGTTACCCAGGCTGGAGTGCAATGGCGCCATCTCGGCTCACCGCAACCTTTGCCTCCTGGGTTCAAGCAATTCTCCTGCCTGATTACAGGTGCGCGCCACCATGCCCAGCTATTTTTTGTATTTTTAGTAGAGACGGTGTTTCACCTTGTTGACCAGGATGGTCTCGATCTCTTGACCTCATGATCCACCCGCTTTAGCCTCCCAAAGTGCTGGGATTATAGGCATGAGCCACTGTGCCCAGCCTTATTTATTTATTATTTATATTTTTAGAGACAGGGCCTTGCTCTGTTGCCCAGGCTGGAATACAGTGGTGTGACCAGAGCTCACTGCAGCATTGACTTCCCTGGACCCAGGTGATCCTCCTTCCTCAGCCTCCTGAGCAGCTGGGACCACAGGCATGCTAATTTTTTCTACATTTTGTAGAGATGGGGGTCTCACTATGTTGCCCAGGCTAGTCTCGAACCCCTGAGTGTAAGCAATCCTCCCACCTTTGCCTCCCAAAGTGCTGGGATTACAGGTGTGAGCCTGGCCCAGCAATAATTTTATCAAGTCGGTTTAACCATAAATCATCTTATCCTTGGCATTTCCTCTTAGTAATTTTCCATCCGCTGACTCCCCCACCCTGTTCCCTGGCTATAAATCCCCTATTTGAATACTTGTGCATACAGAAAGGAACCCAGTTCTATACTGAGGTCTCTCTTTTCCTATTGCAATTGCTACTAAATGAAATTTTCCTTCACTGCTTTCACTTCTGTCCAGCTCCAGCTTTCCTGGACACTGACACATAGACCAGTATATGGCATGTAGAAAATACATATTAAATAAATGACTTGTCCGAAGTCATACAGGTACTTGGTGCTGGAATCCAGGTCTCCTAATTTCCAGCTGTGGGCTTGTTCTATAGTTTTACTTTCCCACCCAGGAATAAGACAGAACTTTTCAACAGGGGTTGGCAAACTCTAGCCAGATCTGGTCCCTTGCCTATTTTTGCCTGACCTATGTGCTAAAAATGTTTTTTTCAGATGATTTTTAGAAAATTAAAAGAAGAAGAAATCGTGAGGCATAAAAATGATACAAAATTCAAATTTGCATTAATAAATAAGGTTGTATTGAAACTCAAGCAATGCTTATTCATTTACGTTGTTAAAAGAAAAACCTTGGACAAATTAAACATAACAGAGTTTAATTGAACAAGAGTAAATTGTGAATCAGGCAGCCCGTAAGCCAGAATAAGTTCAGACAGACTGGTGCTGCAAGTGATCAAGGATTTACAGATAGAAACAGGAAAGTGACAGAACATGGAAGTGAGGTATAGAAACAGCCAGACAGGTTACAGCTCAGTGTTTCCCTTGTTTGAATAGGATTTTAACAGTTGACTGCTTTTTTTTTTTTTTGAGACAGTCTTACTCTGTTGCTCAGGCAGGCAACAAAGCTACATGCCAGGTAGTGGCGCCATCTCGGCTCACTGCAGCCTCTGCCTCCCCCAGTTCAAGTGATCCTCCTGGCTTAGCCTCCTGAGTAGCTGGGATTACAGGCACGAGCCACCACACCCAGCTAATTTTTGTATTTTTAGTAGAGACGGGGTTTCGCCATGTTGGTCAGGCTGGTCTTGAACTCCTGACCTTAGGTGATCCTCCCACCTTGGCTCCCAAAGTGCTGGAATTACAGGTGTGAGCCACCACGCCCGACCAGTTGACTGCTTTTGAGTGACTGAAGTCAGTGACTGGCGCAAGAGTAGGTTACAGTCTGTTCACACATCCAGTTAGGTTTCATTTCACTATGAATGGAGAAACCTTTAGGCTGAACTTAAAATATGTAAGGAGGCAACTTCAGGCTGGACCTAATTTAACAACATACCGTCCACCATTGTCCTGCTACAAACAACTGGCCTACAAAGCCTAAAGTATGCACTACCTGATCTTTTACAGAAAAAGGTTGCTAACCCATTTTACCACATTCCCCGGTATCCTTAGTTTAAGTCTTAGGATGCTTAGCTTAAGCATTCTACTCTTAGGAGATGCAATCTATGCTCAGTCAATACCAAACCCTGTGACTGACTACAGTAGAGGTACATCAGCAGAGCACTGAACACAGACTCCCCCACATCCCCGCAGAGCGATGGGACTCCACTACCTCACCCAATCTTTACACCGATAAACAAAACGATTAACTGTGATTATAGAGCCTTAATATGAAAAAGATAATTGGGCGAACTCCAAACACAAGCAGGAACTTGATTCTTTTATCCTCCAACTCTGAGTTCAATGCTGAGAATTTACTGTTATCTTAAAAGTCAGAATGGCTTAAAAGCACAGGCATAAAAAAAGCATAGAGACTTTCCTTTGCATTAGCTTTTTTTTTTTTTTTTGTCTGTTGTTCCCACCTCCAGCTGCACAAGAGAATCATCTGGGGAGCTTTTAAAACTTGCTAATGCTTGGGTTACACCTGCCCTCCCAAATCCTGATTAAATGGGTCTGGGCATTGTTTAAAAGCTTCCTGGGTGATTCTGTTATGTGGCCATGGTGGAGAGCCAACTTGGTCCTCAACTTAATGTGCACATGAGAATTATTGCACAGGATCATATCCATAAAGTTCTGAGTACTACGCTTCGTGAGGGCTCTTTAGGGGGTTTGCGATGATCATTTTATTTGTTTATTTATTCATTTATTCATTTATTTTGAGATGGAGACTTGCTCTGTCACCCAGGCTGGAGTGCAGTGGCATGATCTTGGCTCACTGCAACCTCCGCCTCCTGGGTTCAAGTGATCCTCCTGCCTCAGCCCCGAGTAGCTGGGACTATAGGTGTCTGCCACTGCGCCCAGCTAATTTTTGTATTTTTAGTAGAGAGAGGGTTTCACCATGTTGACCTGGATGGTCTCAATCTCTTGACCTCATGATTCGCCTGCCTCCATCTCCCAAAGTGCTGGGTTTCAGGTGTGAGTCACTGTGCCCAGCCTATTTTTATTTGTTTACAGAGTCTTACTCTGTCACCCAGGCTGGATTGCTGAGGTGCAATCATGGCTCACTGCAGCTTGGAACTCCTGGGCTCACGCAATCCTGCCTCGGCCTCCCAACTAGTAGCTAGGACTACAGGCACACACCGTCATGCCCAGATAATTTTTTAAATTTTTTGTAGAGACAGGGTCTTGCCATACTGTCCAGGCTGTTCTTGAACTTCTGGTCTCAAGTGAGCCTTCTGCCTCTGCCTCCCAAAGTACTGGGAGTTTCACTCCATAATTTTAACCTATATTCAATTTTCACCTTAAAAAGCTTTCAGACCTAGGAGGTCAAGGCTGCAGTGAGCTATGATCACACCACTGTTCTTTAGTCTGGGTAACAGCAAGAACCTGTCTCGAAAAAAAAAGAAATGCTATTAGAAAAAATGAACTGAGAGGCCTATAGTCAGACGGCTCCAGTGTTGTGGGGTCCTAGGTAAGCAAACTGAAATCAGTTCAGAGTAACTTAACTGCAAACCAAAAATGAAATCCTAAGCTCCCAGTCTACTGAACAGATCCCTTCTTGGCCAAGGGGACCCCAGAGAAACCTGAAAAACTGAACTCTTGCCATGATGGGAAGGGGGCTCAGACACACCTCCTTCTTATACCCCCACCCTTTCGGAGTTTAGGCAACTGCCAGCAGTAACATGAAAAACGAAGATCATAAGACTGACAAAACAGACTCTTCCAGGCAGTAAGATACCAGATTCCAACTTGACTCTAGTAGAGCGTCACTCGACAGACAGCAAACCCTGAAGGAAATAAAAATATTTTACCCCCAAATACATTTATTTTCTTTTTTTTTCTTTTGCAATAGAATCTCGCTCTGTTGCCCAGGCTGGAGAGTAGTGGTACAATCTCTACTCACTGCAACCTCCACCTCCCAAGTTCAAGCGATTCTCCTGCCTCAGCCTCCCGAGCAGCTGGGATTGTAGGTGCGTGCCACCACATCGAGCTAATTATTGTATTTTTAGTATAGATGGGGTTTTGTCATGTTGACCAGGCTTGTCTCAAACTCCTGGCCTCATGTGGTCTACGCACCTCAGCCTCCTAAAGTGCTGGAATTAAACAGGCGTGAGCCACCTGGCCTACAAACTTTCAGCCTCTTTTCTATGGTTAAACAACTAACTAACTAACTAACATGCTGTTTTGTTTTGCGTCTGTAGTCCCAACTACTTGCGGGCTGAGGTGGGAGGCTCTCTTGAGCCTGGGAGGTGGAGGCTGCAGTGAGCCATGATTGTGCCACTGCACTCCAGCCTGGGTGACAGAATGAGACCCTCTCTCAAAAATAATAATAATAGGCCAGGCGCTGTGGCTCACACCTGTAATCCCAGCACTTTGAAAGCCAAGCCAGGCAGATCACCTGAGGTCAGGAGTTTGAGACCAGCCTGGCCAATGTGGTGAAACCCCACCTCTACTAAAAAATCATAAAAATTAGCCAGGCGTGGTAGCGCCACCTGTAATCCAACCTACTTGGGAGGCTGAGGCAGGAAGATTGCTTGAACCCAGGAGGTGGAGGCTGCAGTGAGCTGAGATCCCACCACTGCACTCCAGCCTGGGTAACAGAGTGAGACTCCATAAAAAATAACAAATAAAATAATAATTTTTAAAAGGAAGAGTCGCAGCAACCCATGTGAAGGGATCTGTTTACCTGAGTTGGCATGCCGAGAAAATCTGTTCTATTTGACTCCTATAAGGAAAGTCACTTTGAAACAACCCATCTGCTTTGTGTTCCCTGTTTCTGTTTTCTTCAGCTCTTTTCTACTGATTCATGAATCACTCTCTGCTCAGATACACTTTTCAAATTCGTGTCTGTTTTTCTTTAATGTGCCTCAGTTTATCTTTGAACAGTGCAAACTTCAGAGCCCAAACCCCGACATAAGATGTGGCCCCGCTAAGGTTGGCTCCGTTGCGACAAGACTGTCCAGGTTTCTACAGAGTGTCTTGAAAACCACAGAAGTAGTAAGTAGTACAAGGCCCAGTCCCTTAAGGGCAGAGCCTGGGGTGGGAGTGTGCATGGCTGTGTATGTGCCGAGGGTATGGGAGTAGTTAGCTGGCAAAGACAACCAAGATACTCACTGCTGCAGACATCTCCTGCCTGGAAGAGTTCTGTGGTGAGTAGAACTAACCCGTAGTAAGAGAATGCGTTGGAAAACCTGCCAGAAGAAAGCAAGAAAGGTAAAGAAATGATCAGAGGAACACAAGTCCCCTTTCTCTACCCCACTGGGAAGGGCCAGTGTCCACAGCGGCAGGGACCAGTCTTTGGGCTGCACCAGGGCTTTGGGGGCTTTACCAGGAACCTTGGGCAAGAAGATAGAAGGTAAAAAAGCATCATGATATGATCAAAGGGAAGTGCTCCTGCGTCCTTTGAAAGACCAAGAACTGTCAGAGGTGTTTGAACCAGAGCAACTCCATCTTGAATAGGGGCTGGGTAAATGAAGACTGAGAGCTACTGGGCTGCATTCCCAGAGGGTTAGGCATTCTGTCACAGGATAAGATAGGAGGTCCGCCAAGATACAGATCATAAAGACCTTGCTGATAAAGCAGTTTGCGGTAAAGAAGCCAGCTATAGGTCAGGCACGGTGGCTCCTGACTATAATCCCAGCACTTTGGGAGGCCAAAGTGGGTGGATCACCTGAGGTCAGGAGTTCGAGACCAGCCTGGCCAACATGGTGAAACCCTGTCTCTATAAAAATACAAAAATTATCCGGGTGTGTTGGTGGATGTCTATAATTCCATCTACTCGGGAGGCTGAGGCAGGAGACTCGCTTGGACCTGGAGGTAGAGGTTGCAGTGAGCTAAGATCTTGCCGTTGCACTCTGACTTGGGCAACAAGAGTGAAACTCCGTCTCAAAAAAAAAAAGAAGCCAGCTATAAACCCAGCAAAACCAAGATGGTGACGAGAGTGACCTCTGGTCGTCCTCACTGTTACACTTCCACCAGCGCCTTGACAGTTTACAAATACCATGGCAACATCAGGCATTCCCCTATATGTTCTAAAAAGAGGAGGCATGAATAATCCACCTCCTATTTAGCATATCATCAAGAAATAATCATAAAATTGGGCAACCAGGAGCCCTCGGGGCTGCTCTGCCTATGGAGCAGCCACTCTTTCATTCCTTTACTTTCTTAATAAATTTGCTTTCACATTACTCTGTGGACTGGCCTTGAATTCTTTCTTGCACGAAATCCAAGAACCCTTTCTTGGGGTCTGAATCGGGACACCTTTCTAGTAATAGAACTATACTATCCCAGAGACACAGCAACTCCAAGGCTGTCTACCCAACTGGCAACAGGGGAACAATGGTTTGAGGGACCAACCTCTGGAAGAAAACAGACCCATTAACATCTTATAGGGCTTCTGGGTCAAGCATGTCAACTTAGACATGTGATTTTCAAATTTCAGAGCAGAATGACACTGTTTATTAATTCTAGCTGACCCAGGAATTAGAATACTCAAGTTTGCAGGACCAGAACATTCTCATCCAGTAGAATAGTTATATGGAAACACAGTCATAATCAAAAGCCAGTGATTCATTTCCTTAGGTTACAATGTGTACAAGCAAATTTAGTGACTTCCATAATGCACTAAAATTAGTCTCTAATTAATTGCTTCAGTATTCAAGGAGCGTTGGCCCAACAAAATTACATGTGCTCAAAGGTGGGTATTCTCAACACGGACCCCCCGGTTCTGTATATTACCAAAGCTTTTTCTCCTCTTTCCTGTAATTGACCACCTTGGGGTCACTTCCTTGTTAATTAGCATCTCTGCTAAACGGTGAATGGAAAAATGAAAACTGGTTAAAAAAGAACACAAAGCCTTAAGCCAGGCCAATTTTGTTCACTGTTAATGCTGTGTACATGAATTGGTACAAAGGGAGTTGAAGGATGACTGCAATTCCAATTCATTGTGGAGTTTAGGGTGATAACACTCTCCAAATGCCACCCCCAAACCCACACCTTCTGTCTCCAGTTCCCTTCCACGGCTGTTATTTAAGAAAAGGTCCAACAGGATCAGAACTGGAACTTAAAAGAATGCCCATGCTGACCAAATCAGTGGTTCCCAAAATATGTGCCACATGCCACCCCTGTGGTGCCCAAGGGGCAATACGGGCTCAGGGAGGACACTGACATAGTATAACTAAATGAATAAATAAATACGCACACACCCGTGCACACACACACACACACACACACATATATTTTTGAGACAAAGTCTCACTCTGTCGCTCAGGCTGGAGTGCAGTGGTGCAATCTTGGCTCACTGCAGCTTCCATCTCCCAGGTTCAAGAGGTTCTCATCACTACAGGCGACCGCCACCACGCCCAGCTAATTTTTGTATTTTAGTAGAGATGGGGTTACACCATGTTGGCCAGGCTGGTCTCAAACTCCTGACCTCAGGTGATCCACCTGCCTCAGCCTCCCAAAGGGCTGAAATTACAGGTGTAAGCCACCACACAGGGCCACATAGCAGAAATATTCAATCTTATGAAAGAAAAATTCCCTTTTAAGTTTACTTTCAATTCTTTTAAATTATATCCCAGTGTCACTTACGTGCTATGAAGTCTTTAACACCTCCCCCCCATTTCTTTTTTGTTTTTGTTTTGAAACAGGGTCTCATTCTGTCGCCTAGGCTGGAGTACAGTGGCATGATCACAGCTCACTGCAGCCTCGACCTCCTGGGCTCAAGTGATCCTCTCACCTGAGCCTCCTGAGTAGCTGGGACCACAGGTGCATGCCTCCACACCCAGGTAACTTAAACATTTTGTGTAGAGACAGGGTTTTACCATGTTGCCCAGGCTGTTCTCGAACTCCTGGCTTCAGGAGATCTTCCAACCTCGGCCTTACCAAAGTGTTGGGATTATGGGCATGAGTCACCATGTCCAGCCAGCCCTTTTATCTCTTACATACAGAGGCTCATTGCCTCTACAAACCATCCATCTGGTTACTTTTTCTGGTATTTCTCTTTAAGAGTGCCTTTTATCTATGACCTGCAATTAAAGTGTTTTCCTTTAAAGTAGAGTTACAGGCCTGGTTCAGTGGCTTACACCTGTAATCCCAGAATTTAGGGAGGCTAAGGAGGGAGGATTGCTTGAGTTCAGGAGTTCAAGGCTGCAATAAGCTAGGATAGTGCCACTGCACTCAGCCTGAGCAGTGGAGGGAGGCGTCTCTGTCTCAAAAATAAAAAACAAAAACAATAAAATAGAGTTATAAAGTTGCCTTTTAAAAGATGCTTGAGCAAAAGCAATCAATTTAAAGAAAAAGATTAAGGAAATAATAGTATGGACAGATGATGACCTGGATATGGCGGAAATCAGGAGGATGATGTTCAAACTACTGAAATTTGCAAACGCTACTGTAAATCAAAGTGTTCTCTGTGCATTGCATTAAAACAAAACCCAAAACAGGACACAGGGAGTGGAAGGGGGTCAAAGTGGTCAACGAACAGCTCTTACCATATAAACCACAGCAACAAAGTTGTCCATCTAAAATGGGGTGTGAAAAGGTCCCTCATTTTGCCTCGGTCTTCCTGTTTCAAAACAAAGACATGGTATTTATTCTCTCCTCTACAGATGCATGGGAGACCTGCTGGTGGCCTGAGACTAGTGCACACATGGGTAGGAGGGAGGTTTCTGGTTGGTAGGACACTGGAGCTCTGAGAACCCAGAACTCAAATCTACAGGACGCAGCCTCCCAACCCCTCCAGCCAGAACCCAGCCATGTCCAGAGGCGTGATTCCCACAGGATGGATCTCATGCCCTCCAACCTGGAAACCTGGAGTGGGGAAGTAGATCCCTCTGTCCTGGCCCTTCATACCTCAGCACAGACTCATGGACCCAGGGAGCAGAAAACCAGTTCAAAGCGTGTCCAGCCATTTCACACATACCCAGGCGCCTTCCCCAGTTCTAGGTCTAGGTGGCAACAATGAATGTGTTGAGAAACGAATTCAGCAAACATCAATTTACCAAAAGATGGATGAGCTAAATGACCTATTGGCCAATTTTATGTAATTTACAAATTTTACAAATCTTTGCTTTACAACGTTCTTTACAAAAAATATATGCTATGGCCAGGTGCGGTGGTTCATGCCTGCAATCCCAGCACTTTGGGAGGCCAGGGCAGGTGGATCACTTGAAGCGGGGAGTTCGAGACCAGCCTGGCTTTCCTTCATTCATGGGAGGGGTCTCTCCCCAAAGGCAACCAAATGGGCTTCTGCACATCTTGTGGAATCCCTCCTGCTCTGCCCCTGGAGATTTGGGGCAGGTCCCCTGGCCTCTGTGTTGTCAGACCAAACATCTCCTTCCAACCTGCTGAAATACCATTTAATTCTTCTTGCATAATATAAAAACAATCAGAAATAGAACTTTATTTTAAAAGGTAATTTCTTTATAGGATCTGATGTCTGCTTAAGGGTACTTGTTACATTTCTCCAATCCCCTTGGATGGCCCTTGAGGGCAGGAACTGCAGCCTTAAATCCAAATCTTTTCTCTTAGTGTGTGCAGTGCTAGTGCCTACATACAGTAGGTGCTCATTAAGTTTCACTGTGGTGGATTTCCTGATGGTGTTACTGGTGGGGTCAGAATGATACAAGCTGGTGCTTAATGGCACCATCCATTAAGAACATCTACATCAGGTGCGGTTTGATGACCGCAATCTAAGCACATTCCTTCCTAATGTGGTTTTACTGCACAGCTTTTGCCAATCAATCTCATTTGCTAGTCAGACTTCATCTGTGCTGAAAGGTGAACCCAAAGCAGGAGTAGTTACAGGACACATTAGCCAGACGTTACATTTCTCTAGTCACTGGTGAAATTCTCCAGGTAGCATTTTTAGAATTTGGCAGTGACGATACATATTGGAGTAGCCAAATTACCCTTGCAGGTCCTGTCTACTGAGCCCTCCTCTGCTCCATGTGCACACACACCCACCCCATCCTGGGTACACACACCCACGTGTATCCACACTTGCATGCCCTACTCTATGTGCACACACTCTCCTGCATGCACACCGATACACACGTTGCAGAGTCCATTGGTCCAGGCACTGACCTGTCTGGAGATGATGAGTTTCCCCAGTGGCATGGGAGCTCCGTTTTCCGTCGCTATCCTCTTTAAGGTGGCAATTGCCTTTTCCTGGTTCCCTGACAGCACGTCATACCTTGCACTTTCCGGCAGCCACTGGGATGGGGGAGACAGGAGACTCAGGTGTGGCTGGTTAGGGTGGAACACAGCACTCAATTCTAGCCACACACTCTTATTTATGTGTGGGGTCTTTAAGGTGGGGGCTCTGGAGACCTGACTTCAAATCCTGGCCCCGCTGTTTATTATGTTGGTTGTGTGACCTATACAATTAATTGACACCTCTGTGCTTTCATTTCCTTATCCATAAAATGTGAATGACAAGAGATCCTAGCTCATAGGGCTCTTGAGGGGATTAAACAGGATCATCCAGGCAAGGTGCTTAGCACAGTGCCTGGTCGGGGTTAATGCAGTTACTATTATTGTCACGGTTACTATTACTATTACTTGGGGCTGCTTTCAGAATTCCAGGTGAAGGCTGAATTAAATTAAGATCACCACAGAATTCTCACCCTCATGTCTTAAGGAATTATACCTCACCTGTATTCAGCATCATCTTGCAAACTCAGTTCAAGAGAAAGAAATCAGGAAGATTTTTAGGCCTATGGAAGTCACAACCACAAATAACTAGATAAATACAGTTCTGTAAAAATGGAGCAACAGCTATTTGAAACAGCAGGTAAACTGGAGAAAACATAAGACTAGAAGTTAGAAGATCAGGTTCAGAGTTCTTTCATCTATTTGCAGTAGGCCCCTTCCTTTTTCATAGTGCAAAGTTGTCTTCAGATGTGGCTGCCCAGACAGGGACTACATTTCCCAGCTCCCCTTGCATCTAGGTGAGACCATGTGACTTGTGTTCACCAATGGTGTATGAGCAGACTATTCCTGGACAAGGCATTTAAGAAGTGAATGTGCAGTCACCACTTGCCTTTTGCAAGTCTGTTGTCTGACTGTAGAAGACTTCAGAGCCCTAGAAGATGACAGAGCCACCAGCTGAACAAAACCAGGCCCAGAATTCCACTTGCCAACAAGAAAAGTCATTCTGAACTATTGTGTGAGTGAGAGATAAGCTCCTCTCATGCCATGTTGCTGAATGTGTGGGCTTTATTTGTTTCAGCAGCTTGTATCACCCTGACTCATATAGGGGTTCATTATAGTCCTGTGATTAGTGGGAGGAATAAATATGATAATGCATGGAGCACAGAGCCTGCCACACAGTTAAGCTTAATAATTATTAACGCTTATTGTCATTACCAGGAATTTTTGTGGTATTTATCATACATGATAACTAGCCATCTCTAGGCTTATTTTAGTGCCTACTGGCTGTAAAGTGTTTCATGCATGTGCCTGTGAAATGATGAGGATATGGCAAGATCTCAGTTGAGGGTGTGGTTTCTGCCGAGCTGAGATGAAGAGATCATTAAACTCCTAGAGCCAGCCATTCCTGAAGTTAGCTTGAATCCTCTGAAATGTATTTATCCCTTTTTACTTAAGCCAGTTTGAATGGGATTTCTGTCACTTGCAACTTAAGAGTCTCACCTAGGGCAATATAATCACTTTAAGTGTAGATTTTGCAATGATGGGGCCAGTGTATCCTCCCATCCCCAGTTATCTCCCTAGAAAATATCTCAGAAGTGTCTGTCTGGAGGAAATCTAACACTCCATACTGGGGCAATCCCAGGCCATAGCTCTCTTGTCCCATTTCCTGATGAAAAAAAAATAATAATCTTAAAAGATGGCTTTGGTATCCTTCTCCATCCCCTCCCCACAAAAATAGAGTAGACAGTCAGGTGTCAGGTAGCAAAAGCTGAGATCTCTTAAAGGATACCTACGAAGCACAGCACGGCAAAGAGGAGGAGCGGGACAGCCGAGAGGAGGAGGAGCCAACGCCAGCCCAGGCTGGGCATCACGAACACAGCCAGGGCGACCTCGAACACTGTCCCGATGGCCCAGAATACCTGGCACAGGAGAATCAGGGTCAGCGACGGGGGTAGCATGGTCCACACAGTGAGGAATTATGGGGCACTGTGGACCAGGGTCTTTCTAAGGGTAAGGGGTTACTGGAGTCAGCAAGGTTAGAATAGCCACCCTTTCCCTGTGATCTATAGGGTTGGGCCAGGGCTGCCATGTTGCCAAGCTCACAAGGGTGCCATCTCCACTGTATATTTGTATGGCACCCGCTGGAGTGGGGCAATGTGGCAGCTCTGGTTAAGATCAATATGGTCAATATTATGTGATGTCAAATTGGTAGTCAACATATTGGGTCTTTTCTTTTTAACAGGGTCTTGCTCTGTCACCCAGGCTGAAATACAGTGTTCAAATCATGGCTCACCACAGTTCCGACCTCCCAGGCTCAAGTAATCCTCCCACCTCAGCCTCCTGAGTGGCTGGAACTACAGGACATGCCACCACGCCCGGCTAATTTTTTGTATCTTTAGTAGAGGTGGGGTTTCATTATGCTTCCCAGGCCGGTCTTGAACTCCTGGGCTCAAGTGATTTGCCCTCCTGGGCCTCCCCAAGTGTGGGATTATAGGCATGAGCCACCGCAGCCAGCCTCAAATTTTTTATTATGGTAAAATACACATAACAAAATTTACCATCTTAACCATTTTTAAGTGTACAGTTCAGTGGTATTAAATATATTTGTAATATTATGCAAACATCACCACTCCCCTTTACCAGAACTCATCTTGCAAACATGAAAGTGTGTACTCATTTTTTTTTTTTTGAGACAAGAGTCTTGCTCTGTCGCCCAGGCTGAAGTGCAGTGGCATGATCTCAGCTCACCGCAACCTCTGCCTCACGGATTCAAGCGATTCTCCTGCCTCAGCCTCCCGAATAGTTGGAATTACAGATGCCCCCAATCACATTCAGCTAATTTTTGTAGTTTTAGTAGAGACAGGGTTTTACCTTGTTGGCCAGACTGGTTTCAAACTCCGGACCTCAGGTGATCTACCTGTCTCAGCCTCCCAAATTGCTGGGATTGCAGGGGTGAGCCACCGTGCCCGGTCAGAAAGTCTGTACCCATTAAACAATAACTCTCCATTCCCCTCTATCCCCAGCCCTTGGCAACTACGATTCTACTTTTTGTCTCTATAAATTTGATTACTCTAGGTACCTCATATAAATGGAATTGTACAGTATTTGTTTTTTGTGACTGGCTTATTTCCCCGAGCATAATGTCCTCAAGATTCATCTGCAATGTAGCATGTGTCACAATGTCCTTCCTTTTTGAGGCTGAATAATATTCCAATGAATGTGTAGACCACAGCTTGTTTGTCCACGAGTGTGCTCATGGACACTTGGGTTACTTCCATGTCCTTTTTTTTTAAGAGATGGATTTTTAGCATGTTGGCCAGGCTGGTCTCAAACTCCTGACCTCAGGTGAACTGCCCACCTCGGCCTCCGAAAGTGCTGGGATTATAGGCGTGAGCCACCGTGCCCGGCCACTTTCACGTCTTAGCTATTGTGAATAACGCGGCTATGAACATGGCTGTACAAAATGGACACACTGATTTTTCTCACTGACATCCATCTCCCTTGCCCAATGGTGCCCCAGAATTCCTAATCAGAATTGCCCCTTCTTGATGGGGCTGAATATCTTCTGTTTGCCTGCCCAAGTCACTCTCCATCTTTTCCACTTTTGTGTGGATTCCATCAACAGGCTCCCTGTCCTAGCGTTTCCCACTGGGTGCAGCCGATGTGGAGTCCTGCAGGAGATGGGAGAGAGGGAGGGAGGGAGGTAGGGAGGGAGGGAGGAGAAAGACACGGAAGCACTTATTCCCCTGGCTTCCTCCCTGCAGAGTGGTCCTGGCTGGTTGTATCCCTCAGCTGAAGGTCCTAGCTCCTGTCCCACAGCCTTCATCATATGACTCTCTGGGCAGCTCATTAATCCCTCTCTTTGCTCCTTCTGGCCTGAGGTGGTAAAGTGGGGATTTTAGAATCGTCCCTTGATTTATTTATTTGTTGTTATTGTTGTTTTGAGACAGAGTCTTGCTCTGCTGCCCAGGCTGGAGTTCAGTGGTACAGTCTCAGCTCACTGCAACCTCTGCCTCCCAGGCTCAGGCAATTCTCATGCCTCAGCCTCCCGAGTAGCTGAGATTACAGGTGTGTGCCACCACGCCTGGCTAAGTTTTTGTAGAGATGGGGGTTTTGCCATGTTGGCCAGGCTGGTCTCATACTCCTGACCTCAAGCAATCTGCCCACCTTGGCCTCCCAAAGTGCTGGGATTACAGGTGTGAGCCACCACGTTGGGGCAATAGTGTCTTTATTAAACCATCTGCAATGATCCTAATTTCAGTAGCTGTTTCCTGTTGGGACCCTGACTCTACAATTACTGTGCATTCCAAAACCTGGCCCTCCAGTCTCCTCATTTGTTTTGGAGTCCCTAAAAACCTTTCGAAGTCCCTTTTCGCTTAAATAAACCACAGTCCATTTCTGTTGCTGACAACCAGGGCCCAGAGAAGAATGTTTAACAAGTAATGCACTGACCAATCAGAATGGACACCAATTACACATGCCCAAACCATGTGCACCGTGCCAGGGTTTAACTCTTTAGTTACTGAATCATGGGAAGCTCTGGAGGGTCCCAAGAGAGGACAGAGTGTCAGGCAATGAAGGGCAGTCAGAGTTCAAGATCAACTGGTCCAGATATATTCCCCTTGCCCACTTTTTTTTTTTTTTTTTTGAGACAAAGTCTCACTCTGTCACCTAGTCTGCAGTGCAATGGTGTGATCTCGGCTCACTGCAATCTCCACTCACTGCAATCTCCACCTCCTGGGTTCAAGCAAGTCTCCTGCCTCAGCTGGGATTACAGGTGGCTGCCACCATACCCGGTTAAGTTTTTGCATTTTTTTAGTAGAGATGAGGTTTCATCACCAGGTTGGCCAGGCTGATCGTGAACTCCTGACCTCAGGTGGTCCACCCACCTCAGCCTCCCAAAGTGCTGAAATTACAGGCATGAGCCACCACACCTAGCCTTGTTGTTGTTGTTGTTGTTGTTGTTTTTTAATAGATAGGGTCTTGTTCTGCCACTCAGGCTGGAGCGCAATGGTGTGATCACAGCTCACTGCAGCCCCAAACTCCTCACCTCAAATGATCCTCCTGTCTTGGCCTCCCAAAGTCCCAGATGCATTTCAATATTTAAACAACTGATTCATCCACATGAGTGTGGATCACTGAAGCGTCACCCTAATTGGTAAGGAGCAGATGTTGTCAGGATGTTGGGCTGTGGGGGCAATGTGATTAATATTGTCAGTGTGCTTACAGTGACTGGGGACATCAGAGTGGGTTCATAGTCATCACTGTTGGGATCAATGTCCAGCAGGGGCAAATACACCCTTCTGCCACTGTGCGGAGGGCTCCATCAGGCAGCTGCATGAGGTTGGGGGGGGGGTCATGGACACTGTATTTGCTCTGAGATAGTCCAGATCATGATTGGAAGGTTGGAAATGGGTCACGAGACCCTGGAAGAAAAACTTGAGAGGAACTAGTTGGACCTTGAGAGTTCTAAGGCCACAGAAATGGTCAAGAATGTCCATGGACCAAAAGCACAGGTGGAGGGTGATGATGTGGGTGTGGGGGCAGGAGTCTGGTCTCCTCATGCCACACTATTCAACGCCAACTCTCAAATTCAAGCTCTTTCCAGTTCAAGAAAAACATACTCTTCCATACTCTTGCCACCATTTTTTTTTTGAGGGACGATAGCTTGAATGTTTTTGTCAATTGAAGAATTGAACCATATTGCAAAACGGGCATGTGAGAATTGATGAAACTGATCCTGTTACATTTTTGCATATTGAGTCTGTAACTTTTTTTTTCTTAAAACCCCTTTTCCTTGGCCTGTGGCCAAAGACATCTGAGAACCCCCTGCCAGAGTCCACACTCTCTGGAGACCCAGGCCACTCTCCTTCTTACCTCAATCAGCAAAATACATTTAGCTCTGGCTTTCATGGGAAGGAACTCCGCATAGAGCGTTACCCTGGGAATGTAAAAGAGACAGAAAGGGAGTTAAGATCAGAACTGGGTGGGAAAATGGCTACGGTTTTTCTAAACTTCCTGCCGACATTCCTCCAAGAGTGGTCAGTGGACCACTTACATCAGAATTTCCTGGGATGATGATGGTTAAATATATAGATCTCTAGCTCCCTCCCTCCCTAGACCCAGAAACAGACACCCAGGGATGAGGCCCTGGCATCTGCATTTTTATTGTATTTATTTATTTAGAGTCTGTGTCTCACTCTGTCATCCAGGCTAAAGTGCAATCATAGGTCACCACAACCTTGAACTCCTGGGCTCAAGTGATCCTCCCACCTCAGCCTCCAGAGTAGCTAAGACTACAGATACGCACCACCACTCCTGGCTAATGATTATTATCATTTGTAGAGATGTATGTTACCCAGGCTGGTCTTGAACTCTTGGCCTCAAGCGATCCTCCCACCTCAGCCTCCAAAAGCACTGGGAATACAGATGTGAGGCCCCACGCCCAGTCTCACCTGCATTTTTAATTCCCCAAGTAATTCTCAAATTTCATAACTGCTGCCATTGAGCCCTACCCATAACCCAGTAAGTCCAAGGAAAAATGTCTTCTTGGCAGGAACACCTTGACCTGAGCTCTTCTCAGCACACCAGGGCACACAGTGTCAACCTGTCCCATCACCAGTGACATTAATCTTCATCACCTGATCAAGCTGGTGATGGAGATTACCAGCTTGGTAATCTGGTCTGACAGATTCCTGCACCCTAAGTTATAACTTTCCATTCATGATGAATATTTCTCCTTTGTGAGGAAATATTCAGAGACTGTGCCAATATCCTCCCCTTAGAACCTCCACCTACCAGCTTTAGCCATTGCCTATCTCTATCTACATCATCTTCCACTGCGATGGTAACACATGGTTGTTTTTATTTGGTTTTTGAGACAGGGTCTCGCCCTATCCCAGGCTTGAGTGCTGTGGTGCCATCATGGCTCACCAAAGCCTCAACCTTCCCGGCTCAATCCATCCTTACCTCAGTCTCCAAGACTACAGCACTGGGACTACAGGCACACAGCACCACGCCCAGCTAATTTTTTTTTAAAACATTATTTTAGAGATGAGGTCTCATTATGTTGTTCAGGCTGGTCTCAAACTCCTGGGCTCAAGCAATCCTCCTGCCTTGACTTCCCAAAGCAGTAGGATTACAGGCATGAGCCACTGCACCCAGCCCCACAAATGGCATTTTTTATTTCTGTCATTTCATCTACATTTATTAGTTGACATCCTACTGTCAAAAAGAGCTTTTCCTTCTTCCTTTCATCTTATCTGTCTATCCATTCAATCAGTATGGACTTGTGGAGTTCTATTTATACAGTGGGTTGTTATTCTTTTGATGCTCAGAAGAGCTTTCCTTCTCTCCTTTATCTGTCTTATCTCTCCATCTAATCAGTAAGGACCCGCAGATTCCAATTTTATTTCATGAGTTGCAACCCGTTATTATTATTATCATTATTGTTAGTAGTATTATTTTGAGACAGGGTTTTGCTCTGCACCCAGGCTGGAGTGCAGTGGCACAATCTTGGCTCACTGAAACCTCCACCTCCTGGGTTCTAGCAATTCTCCCACTTCAGCCTCCTGAGTAACTGAGATTACAGGTGCCTGCCACCATGCCTGGCTAATTTTTTAATTTTTAATTTTGGTAGAGATGAGGTTTCACCATGTTGTCCAGGCTGGTCTCAAACTCCTGACCTGAAGTGATTTGCCTGCCTCAGCCTCCCAAAGTGCTGGAATTACAGGCATGAGCCACCGTGCCCAGGCTGCAACCTGTTACTATTTTGACGTGCAGACTCCCAGATCCGGCCGGTGGGAGCCCCTCCAAGCTGATTCCTATTGTCTTTTTGGCACATCTCCATCATTCCTCAAGGTCTTCCCTATTTTCTAGCACAAGATGTCCAGCTCATCTTCCCTTGCCCAGCCCTGGAGTCTGTCATCACCTTTCCAGGAAGCCCTGGCTCCCTTTGGCAGAAGATAGTATTTAGAAACCGAGATCTTTGTGCTCAGTGTGATCATTGCTTTTGGGGTGTCACTGCTGCTGGGCCCTCTTGGTAGACACAGCTAAGAAATTATCTGTTTGTCTATCTATCTATCTATCTATCTATCTATCTATCTATCTATCTATCTATCTAACAATCATCTATTTCTGTCTTACTTCTCTTCCTCTCTCTTCACACATTCACCATATCTATCTCTCTGTGTATATTTATTTAAAAACAAGGAGTTCATACTGATACTTTCCACTTCAGTTAGTTACCTTAGGGATCTTTCTAACCTTCTTTACTTCTGTGTTGCAATTCCCTTCTCCAATAATGGGAAATCTGGTCTCATTATCCTCAATACGGTTCTGTCTTTGCTCAATTTACTTGTTTGCTCAATGTAACCAACTGCGCTGGCTGCCTCCTCTGTCTGCTGCTTCCACACGTTCCTCCTTTTCACTTCCTCAGCCTTTGGGCATGCTGGACAGCTAAGGGAACATTTAAACAAATCCCTGCTCCCACCTACCCCCTGCTGCCTTCGATTTTGCTAAAAGAGAAGACCTTCTTTTCTCTCATATCTCCCACCTAAGCCAGGCATCTGAGCTACTAAATGGCCTCATGTTACTCTCCTAGCTCCTCTTAAGGGGTGGGGGTTGGGGGATAAAGGGAGGTTAATTTCCTTTGACCCTTTGAAGGCAGATGGTGCTGTGGACACATTTAGATCCCCTAGGATCCCTTTACTAGGTCAGTGTGCCCACCTCACTGCTTCTGCTAATGGCTCATACCTGTAACCTTCTCTTAGGGATGCTCTTGAGCACTTGGAGCTGCCTAACCACGGAGGTACCGAGGATTATGCCCATCTCCCCGGGGCAGGCTGCAGACTGGCGTGTATGTGTATGAAAGGCCCAACCCCTGGCATCAGGGTGAGGGTGAGGGTCAGATTCTGTGGTGCAATGAACACTCCTTAGCTCCCTGTGTGCTCAGGTGAGTCCAGAAGAAACCACATCCTTGTGAACTTCTTCCCTATATCTTTATCTTGGCATCTTTCACTCTTACAACTTTCTCCCAAGAACAGTCTCTCAATAAATCATTTATACAGGAATCTCTGCCCGGGTTCAGTCTGATTCTGTGCAACCCAATCAATGGCACCTTTCCCTATAGAGCATTTCACTTTTCAAAAGTTAGCCGCAGCAATACCTCATCTATCTATCTATCTATCATCTATCTGTCTATCTATCATCTATCTATCTATCTATCATCTATCTATCTATCTATCTATCATCTATCTATCTATCTATCTATCATCTATCTATCTATCTATCTATCATCTATCTATCATCTATCTATCTATCATCTATCTATCTATCTATCTATCATCTATCGATCTATCTATCTATCATCTATCTATCTATCTATCTATCATCTATCTATCTATCATCTATCTATCATCTATCTATCTATCTATCATCTATCTGTCTATCTATCATCTATCTATCTATCATCTATCTATCTATCTATCATCTATCTATCATCTATCTATCTATCTATCATCTATCTATCTATCTATCT